AGGACCACTATCTTACAGCTTCTTCTTTACAACAGAAGACAGTGTGTGATCTTGTCAGTAAGTGCTATTTTATGTTCGGAACATTCGAGACATCATTTTTACGAAAACCTGTGAGTGTACTGTATAAATACCTTTCAGTATAATATTATCCAACATTGACACCTCAAACCACATCTTTATAATGTAGTGTGCCCTGGTTTGAGGCTCTACACTCTACAGACATGAGAAGTGTAAAGTTGCTGAGTGTGACATACTGTGTGACATGAGAAGTGTAAAGTTGCCGAGTGTGACATACTGTGTGACATGAGAAGTGTAAAGTTGCTGAGTGTGACCAAAAGCTCTGAAATGTCCTCTTTTCTAAACACAAAAACCACAACGAGAAACCGCTGGAGCTCCATTTGCTTGTGAAATAACAACGATCTGCAAAACTACTCAGTTATTAAATTAAATGCTTCGTAAGTTAGATGAAAACCTTCACTTTCCTATCGAAATTATGTGACTGATGCGGAAAAGCGGTAAAATGGATAAATGATTTTAAGTTCGATATAACACAGCATAATGTACAGCTTCAAGTTTTCATTGTCTTCCGTTGTAAAGTTGCAGATCACTCGCACAGCTGTGAACTGTTAACTGGAAGTATTTATGAAGTTGTGACGAAGGAGCAGGTTTAAAGTGGAAGTATGTACGAAGAAGCAGCTGTGAAGTATAAGTATTTATAAAGGAGCAACTGTAAACTGTTTGTGAAGGAGCAGGTGTAAGACGATAGTATTGATGAAGGAGCAATTCTTGAGTGGTAGTATTAATGAAGAAGCAGCTGTGAAGTATAAGTATTTATAAAGGAGGAACAGTAAACTGTTTGTGAAGGAGCAGGTGTAAGACGGTAGTATTGATGAAGGAGCAATTCTTGAGTGGTAGTATTTATGAAGGAGCAGCTCTAAAGCGGTGTAGCAAGAGTAGCCGAACTTAAGTTGACGTATTTTGAAGAAGCACGTCATGTGAATCGGCGGTATTTATAGAGATTTAAGCCCTCTATCTATTTCAGATTCCTGTACCATAAGTCGCAATTTACCACGGTCTAATGCTTCTAACTTTTCCTAATTAGTCGGCCGGCATTTACATCGTGGAATTACCACGGCCACATTCTCTATAACACAATACATAATATTATAATACTGTTTGAATTACAGAAATTGGAGATGAGCTAATCTTTCGATAATCTGGGGTTTATTTTTTCAGTAAATCGTATTTATAAAGGAGTTATAGTAAATATTAACGTTTGTTAGTAATGATACTAACAACGTTTGGAACTTGCATAATATTATAAACTATGGCGCCTACTATTTACAGGTTAGTCAAAATACATACATATCACGGATATATTGCATCTAATATATTTCTATAATAGCGAAGAATTATAAGTTGGTAAAGTTTGACCATATTAGGGGACACGAGAAGCTCCTGTTGAGTAATAGCTGTCCGACTTTGACTTTCCATTGTGACGTACTTGACATAAGCGCTAGTTAAAAACCGTACTATGGTAAGACAAAATACTGGCTATTACTAATTTTAGACTGTGGAATGAAAATAGAACAGTGTTGAATGGCATTTTATTGGGTATGGTTAATGGTTATAGGTTGGAAATCATGGTTTCCGTGTATAAAAGTGTTTGAAGAAGAATCAGAAATGCCGACGTAAGCAATAAATCTTTAAATCGCGGTCAAATCGAGATTTATTACGCACCGAAGACATTAGGTATTGGATATTATATAGTACTAGAAAGCCCGTGGTAACAGGGACGAAGCTAGTAGTATTCTTGGAAAGAAAGTTTTAATCGCATCAAAAAGTATCCATCCCAACCGAAGATACAGCCGATTTAAATATAAAACACTTTAAACACAACGTAATTACCACAAAACCGATCAAAATGACGTTAAAACAATCTTTGCACGTGCATGTGTGCATTAAAACACCGTTGCTATGGAACCTTTTGGTTGTTACCTAAATTCCTTTTTTTCATCTAATTTGCACGTGGGCGGTCGTACAAAGATTGTACAAAAATAATTCTCTGAATTATAGTAGAGATAGGGTACAGTTTACAATGTAAGCTGTAACCGTGTTATTAGAAATATTAACAGTAACAGTGTTACTAGAAATATTAACAGTAACAGTGTTACTAGAAATATTAACAGTAACAGTGTTACTAGAAATATTAACAATAACAGTGTTACTAGAAATATTAACAGTAACAGTGTTACTAGAAATGTTAGCAGTAACCATGTAACTAGAAATGTTAGCAGTAGCCAGTAACCACGTTTCTATATTCTAGAAATGTTAACAATTACCACGTTTCTATATTCTAGAAATTTTAGCTGTATTCTTGTATTAAAGTTAAGAATGTAACTGTGTACCATCTAACTGCAGGTACTGATTGCTATCAAGTTTGTCTGCCTTTTCCTTGCTGCCTGCCAAAACCAATCGGTTCAGTCGAGTCTTCTGTAAAGCCAATTAGCGAATATATTCGACCAATTAGTGAGAATAGGCACTGTTTCTTTGGGCAAATATTTACTTTGGATGGACATTTTCGTTATAAATCCAGAAACGAAGCATTGCGTGGAAACTTTCGTCGGCTTTGTCATAAAGATTAAAGACGTTTAATTTACAATACTTTAATGTCCGGTAAAATGATTGAGAAGCGTATTTGCTGGCCATCTGTTTCTCAGATCTGTCAATCTAGATGATTACAACCCGTGTTATTTGAAATTAGAAACCACATTTTTAACTTATTCGCTGTACCCCACCACCAAGAATTATTCGCGTTATAATTTTACCTAATTACACACATTTCCTACTCACGGTTGTGACTTCTGGCAATGTGGTTATGGTTAGACTGATGTTTCAGTGTGGTCGGCTATATTTTCAATTTAAAACAGATGATGAGTGTAGGTTTCGTTGGATATTTGTGAGGATGCAGTATTGGAATTTGGATTGCTATTTGAAGAAATCCTAAAATAGCTCTTTTGGAGATGGTGTTATCATAATGATGCAAACTAACCTAAGGTATTCATGAAATATGCTATTTTTAAGCAGCAGAAAAAACAATATCTCGCCAAAAAGTCACACCTAATCATAGAATTCTAAAATAGTTTTCACGACAATCCATTGGAATGTTTAGCATCAATAAATGATTCCATTTCATGATTGGGAATATTCAAGTATTAATGCCAAAATAGCGTCAGTAACTTACAAGTACCATTTTATCCTTGTTATTCCTAAAACTGTATTTTCAAACTGATATTTAATATCAAATAAAAGTAACTTTATATCCAAAAATTAGGGCACTGTTGTCAAGACAGACCTATTTTTATTTAGAGGTAGACATGATTTACAAAAAGTAAAATTCCTCTGGGATTACCCCGCAGTGACCTAATGTTAATGTCATTATTGTATCGCAAAACTTGGTGTTGTTGGGACAAAAATTTGTAATCAAGCGGCATTTGTCTGTCAATTTTTGTCGACTAATGTTGATCGCATTTTTGACAGTATCAAGTTGAGAAAAGACGTAATGGTAAAATTTGATCATGGAAATATCAGTATGTCTGTGCCTATCTATTCTGACCATAATCTCTGGTAATTTGTAGATAGAGACCGTATTGGATTCTGATTTCACTGAAATACTGATCTTTTTCATCGTTAGATATGAATTGCCAAGTCCTGAGGGACCTAAAAACGTTTACGTTAGAACGTATTTCCATCAGTTTGTCAAGGTTATAATATCTGCAAGGACAGTCTACTTACACTAATGTAGCTGCCACAGCTCACAACCCAGAACACAGTACCCATGTTTAGTGTGATAAACGGTAGACATGCTGCAAGTTAATAGCAGTCTGGGTCCCATAATCCTATACACCAAAATGTCTACTCACCACAATGTATACTCACCACAATGTCCACTCACCATTTTATAGACCACATTACTGCTACTAGATCAATACATAACTTTTACATTATTCCGTAATTTTGGGGTAATTCTTCAGAAATGAAGTTACCCCAGTCTTTGCTACAATAAGGAGCTACACCTCAGCTTGCAGTAGAAATAGAGACCTGACTCAGAACATCTCCTACTTTGTCCTCAGTTGTTCATTAGAGACCATAACACTGGTACAACCAGTGTATGTACTGGTATGTACTGGTATGTACAGTGTATGTACAGTGTACGTACATTGTACAATTGTTACCCTTGTGAGACTCTTCAGAGATATATCATCACTTATTACAGTAATATGCTCAGAGTCACAATACCACGATATAACGTGATTTAAAGTGTGACTGTACGACGTGCTTTGCAATGAACAATACTCTAAACGAACAGAATATGTGTACATCTCTCGAATGTTTGGTGGTATTTAATGTTTCCGCTATTATCCCTTGTTACACACCATACTCTTACTCTCATTATATAACATGTCAGATATCCGCTGTGAAATGGGTGGGACGTGGTCTTTGTGGCCACGCCCCTTTAGGTATTCACCTGGAATGTACTGAAACATAATTTGTGTACGTGGTATTTAGTGTGGAGTATTAATTTAGGATATCCTGGGTACTAGCTGTCTAATGTACACATGATGCGCTTTTTTATGCAATCTGTTCAAAAAAGTAAGGAAACTAAGTTATATAATGTGCTAAATATACACGAAAGTTTTCACATATTAATTATATACAAATGCAGGAAACACATTTAGCCGTACACACTTCTTAAGAGAATCTTGTGTTCTTTACATGTACCATGCTCTGAGGAAATAGTAGCCACGTGATATATTTCTGTGCTCCCATTGGTTTAAAGAGTACTTTGGCAATGTGTGTAATTTTTTCGCGTACTACATAATATGATTTAAACATATTGTTTCACAGTAAACTTTTGCTTTATTTTATCAAGAATTAGACAACTTCATCTTGTCAAAACACATTTTATGACGCAAGTTTAACACAATGTTATTTTACAGGGAGTAGATATGGAGCCCAGAAGCGAGATCCTAACTAGCAGTCACATGTTGAACATGATGTACCAAATAGCTTGCGGCATGGTAAGTTCTTGTGTTCGTTTTTTGTAGGAATTACTCATTTTATTTTTTAACGTCTGCTCGTTTATTCGGACGTTCAATATTTTTGTCTTTTAAAAGCATTTAATTGTTGAGTTAATCATATTGCTCCCTCAAGCAATTTGTCGTCTACTTAAGTATCTAGCTCTCAGAGATCTTTCATATTCTCAGTTATAAGCTACTCAACTTTCTTATATTCACCAGTATTTCATCGTATATCTCGATTACATGTCTGTTTTATTTAAATGTTACTTGTCATGTCCTATGTTGAACTACCTTGCGCTCTGCAGTGTCTCAACTCTCATCAGACAACATAATCATGCACACAATTCATTACATACTTTGAATATATTCTCGCATATTTTGTCGGGTCAAAACGAATTCTCTAGGCCGACAAATTTTGTGGTTGAAACTGTCAATTTGATAACCGACTCTGATGCACCAAGTTTTTAAAATCTCGTTTACATTTTGACTCCCCAGCCGTAATTTAGTTAAGTCTGGAGCCCAAAATTTTCAACCAGAATTGAAATAGTACGTGAATAGGCGCCGGGAAATTCAATTACGAGTTGATATGACAAAATTACTCTTAGGCAAAAATCCAAGGAATTCATCCAGTCGCAGAGGAATGCAGCAAATCTCTCTCAAATGTCACACTGACACCAATTATTTATTGCCTTGATTTCCAATGTCATCTACATTTGTCCTGTACAGGGAAATCGATGTCAAATAGCTTATACAGGGTGGCGCCAACTATAGTTGCCACTAGGCACATTCTTCTAACTTTCTGTAGCGCGCGATGTTTTTATCTCATTTAGGCGAGAAAAAGCGCGCGGTTAACCCGCGCGCAGTCACATGACATATCATGAACCACGCTGTTCACGTCAAGATTTAAATTATGCGAACATAGACAATTTGTGCTTCAAACATAAGATTTTTGCGCTTAACTCCACGAATTTGAGGCTTGCTGATGTTTGAAAGACAGGCTGAGTCAGTGATATAACTACTGCTGTCTGTACAGCAGGGACCTGAGACAAAATTAAACAGTTCAAATAATGGAACGATTTGGTCAGTAAACTGAGAAGAACTTACAACATGAAACTAATACTACATATTGATAAGGTATCACCCGATCGTTCAATATATGCCATAAATGCAGATTTAGTTCACCAATTACAATCACAACATCAAGTTTGGCATTTGTAAAGAAATCCTGTGTTAATGCACGAAATATTTCTGCCTGCACGAAAATTAATTTCACTATTTATAAACATCCCCACCATCCCAGAGACACAGTAATTATCTCGTGATTTAACAGTTATCTGACTTGTGTGAAACCCATGCAACACCGTCTTTATACAATTATTTAGACCATTTTTTTAGAAATGTTATTAGATAATATTTATTACATAATAACCCAATTTCGTTCAAATCATACAAGTATTTAACAGCTAAGATAACTCGTTAAAAATCTGATTAATCTAAAAAACATGATACATCATCATTAATGACGTCATCATAAATGATCTAAGTGTCTTTTCAATACAAATTTCACACATCATTCGAGTGAGCTAGAAAATATTATAGTTATGCCAACATAGAATAACATTTGCAATTTACATAGAACATATAAACCAATGTTTCAGTCTCTTTAAGGCGTATCCATGTCTTCACCAAAGCAATGATTCAATTGCACAGAACAACAATACAACCTCATAATCTTAACAACTAGTGATTGTGTAGAAACTTCCTAGATATTTCCCTTGATGTGAGATTTGGGACCTGTTAAAAATACAATTATCTGTATTTCTCGCCAGCAGGAGGTGTGACACTGTGACACGTGTGTGACACTGTGACACCCATCTGATCATGGTTTAAAGTCTGGGTTTGTAGATGCTCTGCACAGTGGACAGGACTCTTTCTTTGCTAACCAGTGATCTATACAGTGCTTGTGAAAAACGTGCTTACATCTCAGTTCACTGGGGAAAATTTTATAATTTTAATTTTAATAGTATTTTCCTTTAGTAATAAAGTCACATCTAGTTTTTTCTAATATTGATTTTGCATCTTCTTCAATTTCTATCCGCCCAAAAACAGATTAACCTGAAGATAGTCATATTTTTTGTCTCACCTCAATAATTTCTTCTTCGGAAATTTCTTCAAACAAATTGCACATCCATCTGTTGTTAGTCCATCTGATTCTCTTTCTAAGGTGTGTGACTCTGGCACGGTTTTCGTAAAAACCTTCGACGTGACCTGAATGTTCTGAATTTAGAGTCAAACCTCCTAACACTCACGTTTCTGTAAAGAACTGATCATTTTAACTAGTATAGTGATGAAGTGAAATAGCAGAACATTCTTTGTTTCCTTACAGCAGTTCAGCAACACTCTTATTCTGCTATCAGTAGCAGAAATGTTTCAAACTTGCAGCATTAAAATCCAAATCAACCACCTCAAACCTCTTTAAAACAACTCCAGAACGACTTTTGAGTATGCTGATTGTGTCTCCGTCGTGGGGATTCGTTCAGTGAGTCCATGTACAAGTACCTGTAGAGCTCGTAACTGGAGTGCATGTAACCACCAATAGGATCCACCATACCACCTGACATACTCATCAGATCCATTCGATATTCTGGCGGAAATGGATTTGTTGTAAAACAAAACAACCAGAGTCGGTATAAAGAGGGACTTTCCACCCCTCCCGCTATATTAATACTGTTACTTAACAGTTTAAGTAGAAGTTCATTTAAAACAACAGTTACTTTCTAGCCACGTCTGAAATGTCATTGACGTAGCTAGCATCTAAAAAGACAATGAGACTATATATGTTCCTTCACTATCATGAACGTTATCAACTGTAGTAAAACCCCGATTTACTGCACCCTGAATAAAGCCCCGATTTACTGCACCCCGATTTGACTTTTAGTTATTAGTTTTAAAGAAAGATTAGGGCGTTGCTTTTCACTATCCATTATTTAGAACTTGTATTAAATTAACTTACAGTATTATAAGTAACCTACATAATGTGAAATACCGCAACACCCGCTTTCCATTCCCCCAACTCCGCGGTAAATCAGAGTTTTACTGTACAAACACAGTGAAACACACCTCTAAACGTGGGGTATTCTCTATTGATTCCATATTGGCCACTTCACTGGTACTCGGTAATAGTTGTCCCTAGCAAACAGGGAAAAGGCTGCGAGAAGCAACAACACACTAAAATAATAAGACCTGGCTGTGGTAGCATCTGGATTCCGAGACCCTATTTTACTTCCTGTTTAACTATTAATTCAACTTTCTACTAATTGAGCGCGCATCACGACCTGTACTGGGGGACTAGTTCTAACAAAACGGCATATATGTGATGTAATTGAGCGCGCTTCACGACCTGTACTGGGGGACTTGTTCTAACTAAACGGCACCCCTGGTGATGATTATAACAACGTCCAATTCAACAGCAGGTTAACAGACCCTGCCTGAATAGAAAATAAGCAAAGTTGAATCTGGAGTTAAGCACTTGGGGTCTCGTATAATTGGGTAGTTGTGATGACTTTTCTCATTGTTCTAATATGAGCATTAGAATCAAGGTATTGTTGATTGGGGATAATTATCCCAATTAAAAATTATGACTTTAACTAGGAACTAGAAATTCCATTTATCCCATAAGAATGGTACATACCAGTTACTGGAATCATTATTATAAAACTAAATACGGCAAACACGAGATATAATTCAAGTGGCGGAGTAGTCACGCATTCTTCATACTACCCCATAATACTCTGATATGAGCCATGTGAACCAGATTTTCAAAATCAGTAAATTTATTATTAGTAATCAACTTACTGGGATATGTACCCGAGAATTGCATAGTAAATACCATATAAAGCATAATCGTCATGTGATCTGTGGCACCGCCTGTTTATTAAAATAGCCATGCCATTCCACCGATCTTTGCACTTGCAGAAAATTATAGACTCTAATTAATTAGATTAATTATATTTTTTAAATCACCTCATTCGTTGAATACATATCTAGTGCAATTTACCTGGCATAAGGGAAGAAACATGCTCCATAGTAGTTTTTCTTGTTACACATAGGGGGAAATCCTACAATGCAAATCATAATTCAACAAAGGTACAATGTAACAAAGGTACAGGGATATCACACCATAATGGACATAGTGTTGGAGCTGATTGGAGCCAATTTAACAAAGTATTATGTGTACATGTAATTATGCGTACTTTGTGTATTGTGTCACTTATTGAATGTTATCTTGAATATTATCTATACATTTAATACGGCGTGATACACGGTGTTTTGTTAGCAGAGATTATAGTCCACCCATCATATTGCGTGGTTTTCTAGTCCCTTAACTAAGACAATGGAGGGCCAATAAGCAAAGATGGTATTATCAGTTATATTAGTCTTATTCTCGTTAACTTATTAGAAAGTAAAGTGGGTACAACTGTACAAGTGAAACAACCGGCTGAAATAAGCAATGTCAATCGTGGAAAACGGCGGCTCGGATAGAACAATACACAGCTGGTTTAAATAATACAATTCACATGACACCACTATAAGAACGTTATAAAGGTCTAGACATTAAGACAATATATTATATCCTAAACATATATCCTTCCTTTATGACACGCAACGATAGCATGATACATCAATTACAAGGGAAAAGTTAATGGGTTCAGGGGATGCCAATATGCAATTATTATATTAATTAGGTACATAATGTAATTACACATGATGTGATTAGTTTAATCTTGCACAGAGTAAAAAAGCATACGGAATTTTTTTTCAAGAGGTGAAGCGAATGATTTGCCAATCTATACCGGATACTTAATCAGAAACGCATTTTACCGGGGTTTCTGTAAAGGGTGGGCGACAATTGACCCCCGACAATTGACCCCCCGACAATTGACCCCCCGACAATTGACCCCCCGACAATTGACCCCCCGACAATTGACCCCCCGACAATGACCCTGACAATGAGCCTGACCCCCCGACCCTGACCCTGACCCTAACCCTAACCCTGACCCTGACCCTGACCCTGACCCTGACCCTGACCCTGACCCTGACCCTGACCCTGACCCTGACCCTGACCCAGGACCCTAACCATAACCATAACCCTAACCCTAACCCTAACCCTAACCCTAACCCTAACCCTAAACCTAACCCTGACCCTGACCCAGGACCCTGACCCGATCAATTGACCCCAGTGTAATTACATGGGGGATCAATTGTCGGGGGGTCAATTGTCGGGGGGTCAATTGTCGGGGGGTCAATTGTCGCGGTACCTCTGTATATACCGTGCACTTTCCGTTTCTCCGGCAAGAGGCCTGGTATATTGTTCAGATATCTCCTATTGGCTCGTGCCTCAGATAAGGAGTCAGAGACCTCTTATTCTTCTTATGTTTAGCGATTAAACCTTATGTTAGCTGCAGTTTATATTATATTTATAATATTATTCTTTAAAACTAATGTGATGTTCCCGATGCATTGGCGGAATAAGTTTGTAGCGAACTTTTTTATATTACTTAATAGCAAACTCATCGAGTGCACAAGAGCTTGAAGAAGAACATACATACATTGTTGGGATATGTGATATCGCATCGCGAGAAAACGAAGTTTTCCAGAAACTTCCCCGAGATTTCCCAAATATTTCATGTTACCTTCAAGAGGAAGTGAACAAACACAATTTAGTCACAACAGAACGTATGTTAATAATAAAGTAAGTCACCATCACTTAAGTAATGTTTTGGATAGTATTACTGTTGTTGGGTACGGAGTTGTTAAACTCAACCTATGGGATGTTGCGGAATATGGTGTCAGGTTCAGTCGGTTCATGAATTGATCCTGTCAATTGTTCAATAGACATACCGTTGAACATGACAACTATGTGAGTTGTCATTTACAATTTTTAACCAACACTACATAAAAACAGTCACTGTGCCGAATAATAGCAGAACACTGATATTTTAAATAAACGTTATGCAGACTCCTCGACTAAATAGTCACTAAATAGCGAATATCTTGCGTATTTAAAACATTTGAACATACTTATCAAGTGAAACTGATTCCAAAAACGCATAATGAACTATGAACATAGTATGTAGTGCGATTATCATTAGCTTTCCCAAAACTACAAACGCAGTATTCTTATTTCTATAATGTCGAAGGAAGATGGTGGGTGTACTGACGTCTGATACCACAAATAATAATAATACAACAAATAATATTTAGTTATTTATGAATAACGCGCAAATTCTCTGCTGATTTCAGTAATTTACACCGTATTTTATTATATATACTTTATATATAACCTTATCCCTCGACGAATAAAATAGATTGTAGTGTTCTGTGTTCTGTGCTGATATACGATGTTAGTTGTAACAGACCAAATTACATATTATATTATTTAAGGTTATACGCAACTAAAAAAGTGCAAATAATGGCAATAAAAAGTATTTATGCTCCCCCCTGGATAAGTGTGCTTTATTTTTATGTTGAGGCCAAATACGTTATCAAAGTTCTGAAAAGAACTCTATAAAAAATCAATTACTTATTATGCTAAAACATATTCACAGACCTACTACGGAAATGATTCAAACTTAAGCAAAAATGTTTGGAGGATCAATATACACGTAACATTATATGCTCAAAGAAGAAGGCAAACTCCTAGTAAGTGTACTTAAAGTAATACTATTCGGCCAGCAAAAGGATCAATATCATTTGGAGCTTTAAGTAATGAAAGGACACACTATGACTAATGTATCGCTATCCTTGATTGTTAAAGGGATTATTATAATCGTATCGAATTTCATCGCAAGATGACGTTTTAGCCATTATCTCCTCAAATTACTTTTAAATTATCCCAATTATAATTATGTTATTTTAATATATGTTAAACTTTATCTGCTCCTTGGGTAACCCAGAAATTCGCTATACTTATCTATCATTTGGGACCTCTGAAGCTAGTTTCAATATCGTAATTATGATTTGGAACTCAGAAGCTTGACTAAATACCGTAATTGAGCTGATTATATCTGTGATTGATCCCCGTGATTGCTATGTTACTGTTCCTCATGGGAACAGATAAACGCTGCGCACCAGCTCAGGTCACAGAGCCCAGGTGTTTTATGCCCTAAACTGAAGACAATGCAAAAGGTCATTATATACCTGTCAGCTAGATTTACAGACGTAGCCTTATACTGTTGTAGGAGTTAAAGTTGGTGGCCAATAACCAACCCAATATCTTATCCTATAAAACTTGCTAAAAGTCTGTGAGCCATATGCCCGCTGATCGCAATTTAATGGTAATTGAATATCAATTGTCCTACTACACTTGTACTAGTCGAGTCAAACCATTTATTGCACGTTATATGGTATCCTATACTGCATGGATCAAAGGAATCAAACTAAGAAATATGTTCGCTTATTTCGTATCCACTTAAGATTATAGGCGAATTCCTATTAAATTCTTATTCATTTTCCGACGAAATTTGTTCTAATGAATTGGAAATTCATAGGCCTCCAAGTTTAGGGGTTGCAACGTGGATCATATCATGTTTTTCTAAATTGCTGGATGCAACATTGAAGTAGCTAGATATATATATCCCCGATTTGACTATAAACGAAGGCTATTTAGTTTCCATACACACCCATTTATACTAGCATTTTAAGAGGCTGACAACTTAGAAGTTTGTACGCCATCTTCTAAAAGTCGTAAGAGTTATATTTTGGTCGAATCGCCTCAGAACAGGCAAGTTCATATTAATGGGTCGAAACAGTTTAAGAAAACACAGATACAAAGATTTTGGGTTCATTAGGAAGCAAACAAGTCAAATTTAAAGGGGTTTGATCAACTGAAGTACTGTTAGCCTAAAGAGAGACCTCGAGACCATAAGCTAGGGGCAATCTTGTTCGCGTGACATTTCGTGAATCACGTGACTGTTTTGGATCACGTGACTGTTTTGGATCAGCACCAGCCCACTTAGCTAGGATCACGTGTAAGGAGAGGAGGGGTCTATGCTATGTACCTTTGTGTTCTGAACAATGTAACATCGCTATATCAGGGAACACGTTTGTTATTTCTGTATTGTATGGCCGTTATAGCGTACAATATACTGTAGTATATAATATGTAGGGACTAATTATATATACACCAGATATTTACACCTTTAAAGTGCCAAAATATTGTCGTGTCCTTTTCTATTAACTAAAAACAGATATGACTGAAAGATGTATTGTAAAATGGAAATAACTAGATGAGTAGATGGTCGTCTAGCCGAGAACGGTATAATTTAATCATTTGACGACGGAAAATACCCGGGAATCTCATCCCATCAGAACTCCAATTAATCAGAATAATGAATCAGCCCTGCTGGCAGAAGTTCATTCTACCAAACCAGTTGCTTAAACCATCGCAGGCGCAGACAACGCGTATCCACGTTATTCTTTACAAACCACATTGTCTGCATATAAATGAATAAATAGATGTATTTATAATTATACTAGTGTAACCCGGCCTACGGCCGGGATTTCACTGCCGCAGTTAAAAAGGGTAGGAGTAATTACCCGCTGAGTCAAAACCCGGATTAGGCGAGCAATTCTATTCGGAGTGCCCTCACGTATCCAATAGTATGCTTAAAAGATAGTAATTCTTAATCAATAATCAATGGAAATTAACCCTTAACACCATGCACCACACCAGCCTATCATATTTGTGAACATGCATTACATTGTCGTATGAAAGTATGAACTCTCTCTACAGTCCAAACAGACCGTTTGAGCACTCCCTCCCCTAATAAGTTTATAGTATTATATGACCATGTAATATATACGCCATGTAATATATACGCTAAATAATATTATGCAGAGAGAGAGAGAGAGCTAGCCCCGTAACTCTTGCCGTTCTTCTCAAGCCATTTTATGTAACATATTTTGTGGTACAAAACCATCAATTAAACCACTTACCACCGGCCGATTTTTATAAAATTTGCCTATTGGCTTCGTCAGAGTTTTGTCGGCACTATACCGAAAAAACCAGTCCCGTAACTAATACCCTTTTTTTTGTATAACCGTTCGGAAATTACACACAGACGATCAGACAGACAGACAGACAGACACACACACACACACACACATTCTGGTGTTATTAAGGTGATTGGGATCTAAATATACACGAGACGAGAAATAAGTGTTATCTCGCCTATCATAAATATCCAACACTCACCAAAACATGTCATATGTTTGTTTTGCCCATCAAATTATGATGTGAAGTTTACTCAGATCATATTAGTTTCACTTTGTTTCTCGAGAAAATTTATCTTAATTCGATTTTTACTTTATCTAGCTATTTTTATCTAACATCTACTAACAATGTACATTGTTATAAATAACACACAATTAGTTAAATTATACATTGAAATCTTATTCAACCAGTAAACTAACAAGCTTCTGTTTTCAGCAATATCTGTGTTACAAAAACATAATCCACCGTGATCTGGCGGCCCGAAACATCCTAGTCGGGCAAGACATGACAGTGAAAGTATCAGACTTTGGTCTTGCTAGGGACATGTACCTGGAAGGACAATACATGATGAACCCCAGGGGCCGTGTTCCCTTCAAGTGGATGAGCCCTGAGGCACTCTTCGACCTCAAGTTCACTTCCAAATCCGACGTGTAAGTTACGAATAATTTCGCAGCATGTCTAGTGAAATTCAGTTGAAAACCTATCATCGTCCCATTTTATTGGCACTTTTTCTACTCTGAAACTGACACAATTCCACTTCAGCTGGTCGTACGGCGTCCTGCTGTGGGAGATAGTGACTCTAGGCAGCTCACCCTACCCTGGTATTGAGCCAGCTAAACTCTGTAAGTTATTAAAGCGAGGCTACAGAATGGAGCGACCAGACGGTTGTTCTCTGGAGATATACGATATTATGAAGGACTGCTGGCAGGAGGACCCTGATCTCAGGCCACCATTCGACGATCTGTCTCATACTATTCAGCAGCTCATGAACCTTGATTCCGTGGTGAGTTTTGTTAAGTTGCTTCTCTGTTAACTACTATTAACCGAGTAAAGGGAGTTTTATACCTGATTTGAAAATCATTTTGATTTAATTTTCTGAGAACTGTCCAAATTTGAAACAAATTTACGTAATATTTTTTAAATTCTTTTGTTTAACAAACTCCTTATCAGGATTATTTGACGGTAGGACAAGGAATGGGAAGTATTGAGGAGAGTACAGAAGACCTGACAGCTGTAGAGTTAGAATCCGACGTTATAGAAGTGCAAGCTGCAGAGCAATACTCGAACGTCAACTCGAAACCCCCCATTTCCCCCTCCTCCTCATCAAGTCAAGACGACAACCCTAAGTCTCCGCTTATTGCAAACAATCATCAGTCATCACTAACTATCGAGGTGCCGCCGCCCATCCTCCGCGCCGACACGTTGGACTTTCCGCCGTCGTCGCGATCGCCCCGCGTTCGGCCCGAATCAAATTACTCTCAGTCGAATATGCATCCCGCCGAAACGGTACTGTAGCTCCATCCCAACAACTTGTCCTTACACCTTCTTGCTCCCTTTTTGATAAATTATTTGTGATCTGTACATATTTAATAATTTAGAATACACCCGGCTCCGTATGTGATAATATGTGACTACAGTTTTGCAAATATTCTCCTATCAGTTAGCTATATTGTTTAGCTTTAACAACCAAAAACTCAACCGAATTGATATAGATCTATTAGATTTTCAAGATTTTCAAGAGTATAGATGCATTGGATTGATGCATTAGATTGATGCATCTTGAATTCTTAGTGTTAGTTTTATTGAAATCAATTTTTAAAACGTATCCATTGCTATTCTGGGTAAAAACGTGAACATAAATAACCGTTACCACGTTTCCAAAATTTGGTATTTGCTTCTTGATGATCTACGTTCACATTAAAATTTCTTTAAATTTTTATTAACTCCGTTCCCCGAATTTTACTCACTTGAACATAGCTTGTTAGGTTAATTTTATCAAGTTAATAAATTATATAACTGAATAGAATTAAGTTTAGTCGAAATGGCTGGCTATGTTCGAGTAGTACATGTTTTGATCTAGCTAGTCAGTGAAAGAATGTGCGATGTAAAATGTAAGGACGGGTTTTGCCTGACCTTAATTTCGACTGATTACATTTTTACAATTAACTGTGGACCAACTGGGAACTGCAATTCCAAAGAATGAAATACTATTGTCCATTTATTTTGTTTTGTAATAATATTTTACTGTTTTGTTATTTTTACAATATTTCAAATTTCTGGAAACCGAACCAACGTGTATATTTTTGCATTATTTGTTGTGGTATTATCAACGTAGCGGACTAGATCAGAGTGGGTTTGAAATGCTAACGCTCGACTATCCTATTAAGTTACTCCAACCGCCATCGACTAAAAGTTTAAAATATTGGATAATGATTAATCATGTTAAATTATCGTCTCACGTCGAGATACCTGTAACCTGATTTCTGTTAATTATGACAAACACAGAAAGAAAACAGCAGGGGTTCAGGTTAAGTATTGAAATGGAGATCTAGATATTCCTAAAAAATAAAACTTAGCAGTATCAATGCCGTTAAAAGCTGACCTCTAAATTTGTTCAGAATTCTGGCCCAAGAGGCAAGACGTGCTGAAAGATTTAATGTTTAAACGTCTGCAGAGAGCCGTGTCACGTGAAGACAGAGTCGATCCTGTTTTGACTTCATAAACGATAATTTGCTTGTTTTTTCGTTTTTTTTGTTCAGTTTTTAATCATTAATGTTAAAGGATATTGATTAATCGTCACTGATCATTTGCGAAGCAGCTCGGCGTACACACGTTAGTAGTTAGATAACTTCGCGTACCTAGTCTTTTCCTCCGGGCGGATTAATTTTATGTTTTCTTTTTAAGACTAGCCTAAGACTAAGAATGAGATAAGAGCGAATTGATTTTGAATCAATAAAATCATTAAAAAGTTAAAAATTTACATTCCAAATGGATTGAAAATAGTTTGCGCGCGACACCCTTTTATTTCATGTTACACTCTGTGCTATCCAGTATCCGTGAGAGACGCGAACAATAGACTAGTAAGATAGGCCGTAACAGTTGTCAATTGTTATAATGGACTAACCCGGCGCGCGATACTTCGTAGCACTTTTGCCCGCCCTAGCGGATTATATTTTCAGAAGAAAGCAGCGCGCGCTACTTCGAAAAAATTTATCGACGATCACGAGTTTGATTCACGATGTCAATCCTTCGCAGCTCGGTGAGGCACAGTGGTGCATTTCGCCGATCTACCGAAGTGTGGTTGCGAGAAGCATTATTTGATGCGCGCGCGACCCAGTAGTGCATCGCGCTACAAATCACGAGTAACACCCGTTGTAAAGTAATAGCAGTTTATAAACCTACCACATCAATTGCTCTAACTAGAGGCCTCTGATCTAGCTCTCACGCTTGTATTATCGCGTGCCATACCAGGCGCGCCAAATGCAACATGACATGAAACGCGAACACAGAACGCGATGAAACAAGCGCGCGCGTGGCACGCAGTACGCGTAAACTTATATATAATAGTTATGCGAATCCTTTCTGATTATCATTTCTGTTTTTTGAAATTGATGTTTTCTTGAATGAAATATTAAAGTTAATATGATTGATGATGATATGTTGAATTTGTAGGTTTATAACTTTTTTTATAACTTTCTCACGAGTTGCAATATGTGCTTCGCAATTCATCGAAGATGCCATGTATATTCAAAATTGTAAATACAAATTTACTAGTATGCTGGCTTGCATTACACATTATAAGTTTTATAATTTGTAATTAAAATCAATTAACACACCTTATATATACCTTATTATGATCAAGAAATGATAATTAATGATGTTTCCAAGGAAACGACCATTAACTTTATTGTTTATTGTTTATTAAAAGATTCTATCCTGATAAATGTACCAATTATGAATTAGTTCACATTTTATTGACGGATGTTTCTCGCCTAAATTTCTTCGAAGTAGCGCGCGCCGTTTTCTTCTCGAAATGTTGGCCCGACGGCATAAAATAAAGTATCATCACATTCAACAATACCTGAGGACCCCAGGCTATTATGTTCATTAACTTAAAAATAAAGATTTGGCGGAATGACAGGCTGAGCGCGGCCCAGTAAATTCAACAATACCTGGGGACCCGGCCCAGGCTATAATGTTCATAATAGAGATTCGGTGGAATGACAGTGCATAGCAGGCTGAGCCGCTGAGCGCCGCTTGACATACGTTGCATGCCACTTTTCGCGCGCGAAGCGCGCGCCGCCGAAGGCGGAAAAATAATATATTATTTATATATAATATCTCTGATATTTGGATACGAAACATGTATCAAAGCGCCGCCCAGTAAAATATTCGATATTGTATGAAAAATATATAACTATGTTCACAGTTCACACCAGCATTAATTATATTATATTATAAATCGAACGCAATTCTATTAAATATTATAAATTACATTTTTAAAATGTTCATATTTTTAAAATGTTCATACTTTACTGGGCCGCGCTTAGCCTGTCATTCCGCCTAATCTCTATTTTATGTTTATGAACATGATAGCCTGAGGTCCCCAGGTAAGTTCATAATACTATATTTCCCAGTACTGTAAAATTCATAAAACGCGAACTTTTCTTTGCCACACAACAATGAAACCAAAAATAAATAATCGTTATTTTTCTTTTTGGTTATTTTTATTTTTGGTTATTTTTATCTTCAATGTAATTGCATCATTCAGGATGTCAATCCTTCACAGCTCGGCGTGGCATCTCGCCGATCTACCGAGAAACAATATTTCTTGATTCACGTTACCTGGGGACCTCAGGCTATCTTGTATCACGTTGCGACCCCCACGGTCGTTTCACTATGGTCACTTTATCGTCCTAACGATACAGGGGGAGCAGCGCACTTCGTTCACATTAAAATTTCTTTAAATTTTTATTAACTCCGTTCCCCGAATTTTACTCACTTGAACATAGCTTGTTAGGTTAATTTTATCAAGTTAATAAATTATATAACTGAATAGAATTAAGTTTAGTCGAAATGGCTGGCTATGTTCAAGTAGTACATGTTTTGATCTAGCTAGTCAGTGAAAGAATGTGCGATGTAAAATGTAAGGACGGGTTTTGCCTGACCTTAATTTCGACTGATTACATTTTTACAATTAACTGTGGACCAACTGGGAACTGCAATTCCAAAGAATGAAATACTATTGTCCATTTATTTTGTTTTGTAATAATATTTTACTGTTTTGTTATTTTTACAATATTTCAAATTTCTGGAAACCGAACCAACGTGTATATTTTTGCATTATTTGTTGTGGTATTATCAACGTAGCGGACTAGATCAGAGTGGGTTTGAAATGCTAACGCTCGACTATCCTATTAAGTTACTCCAACCGCCATCGACTAAAAGTTTAAAATATTGGATAATGATTAATCATGTTAAATTATCGTCTCACGTCGAGATACCTGTAACCTGATTTCTGTTAATTATGACAAACACAGAAAGAAAACAGCAGGGGTTCAGGTTCAGGTTAAGTATTGAAATGGAGATCTAGATATTCCTAAAAAATAAAACTTAGCAGTATCAATGCCGTTAAAAGCTGACCTCTAAATTTGTTCAGAATTCTGGCCCAAGAGGCAAGACGTGCTGAAAGATTTAATGTTTAAACGTCTGCAGAGAGCCGTGTCACGTGAAGACAGAGTCGATCCTGTTTTGACTTCATAAACGATAATTTGCTTGTTTTTTCGTTTTTTTTGTTCAGTTTTTAATCATTAATGTTAAAGGATATTGATTAATCGTCACTGATCATTTGCGAAGCAGCTCGGCGTACACACGTTAGTAGTTAGATAACTTCGCGTACCTAGTCTTTTCCTCCGGGCGGATTAATTTTATGTTTTCTTTTTAAGACTAGCCTAAGACTAAGAATGAGATAAGAGCGAATTGATTTTGAATCAATAAAATCATTAAAAAGTTAAAAATTTACATTCCAAATGGATTGAAAATAGTTTGCGCGCGACACCCTTTTATTTCATGTTACACTCTGTGCTATCCAGTATCCGTGAGAGACGCGAACAATAGACTAGTAAGATAGGCCGTAACAGTTGTCAATTGTTATAATGGACTAACCCGGCGCGCGATACTTCGTAGCACTTAAGTGCTACGAAGTATCGCGCGCCGGGTTAGTCCATTATAACAAAATTTTGCCCGCCCTAGCGGATTATATTTTCAGAAGAAAGCAGCGCGCGCTACTTCGAAAAAATTTATCGACGATCACGAGTTTGATTCACGATGTCAATCCTTCGCAGCTCGGTGAGGCACAGTGGTGCATTTCGCCGATCTACCGAAGTGTGGTTGCGAGAAGCATTATTTGATGCGCGCGCGACCCAGTAGTGCATCGCGCTACAAATCACGAGTAACACCCGTTGTAAAGTAATAGCAGTTTATAAACCTACCACATCAATTGCTCTAACTAGAGGCCTCTGATCTAGCTCTCACGCTTGTATTATCGCGTGCCATACCAGGCGCGCCAAATGCAACATGACATGAAACGCGAACACAGAACGCGATGAAACAAGCGCGCGCGTGGCACGCAGTACGCGTAAACTTATATATAATAGTTATGCGAATCCTTTCTGATTATCATTTCTGTTTTTTGAAATTGATGTTTTCTTGAATGAAATATTAAAGTTAATATGATTGATGATGATATGTTGAATTTGTAGGTTTATAACTTTTTTTATAACTTTCTCACGAGTTGCAATATGTGCTTCGCAATTCATCGAAGATGCCATGTATATTCAAAATTGTAAATACAAATTTACTAGTATGCTGGCTTGCATTACACATTATAAGTTTTATAATTTGTAATTAAAATCAATTAACACACCTTATATATACCTTATTATGATCAAGAAATGATAATTAATGATGTTTCCAAGGAAACGACCATTAACTTTATTGTTTATTGTTTATTAAAAGATTCTATCCTGATAAATGTACCAATTATGAATTAGTTCACATTTTATTGACGGATGTTTCTCGCCTAAATTTCTTCGAAGTAGCGCGCGCCGCTTTCTTCTCGAAATGTTGGCCCGACGGCATAAAATAAAGTATCATCACATTCAACAATACCTGAGGACCCCAGGCTATTATGTTCATTAACTTAAAAATAAAGATTTGGCGGAATGACAGGCTGAGCGCGGCCCAGTAAATTCAACAATACCTGGGGACCAGGCCCAGGCTATAATGTTCATAATAGAGATTCGGTGGAATGACAGTGCATAGCAGGCTGAGCCGCTGAGCGCCGCTTGACATACGTTGCATGCCACTTTTCGCGCGCGAAGCGCGCGCCGCCGAAGGCGGAAAAATAATATATTATTTATATATAATATCTCTGATATTTGGATACGAAACATGTATCAAAGCGCCGCCCAGTAAAATATTCGATATTGTATGAAAAATATATAACTATGTTCACAGTTCACACCAGCATTAATTATATTATATTATAAATCGAACGCAATTCTATTATATATATATATAACTCTAAAACTCTGGTCACAAGAGCAACTGCCTAAACGTGCAGAAGTGAAAACAAATAAATAAAATATACTAGCAGTCCTTAATACTCGTAATAAATAGATTCATTCAATGTCATAAAACTCTTAACCATACACGTGACCAGTAAAATAATTTAATTGGTCTATAGACTACTGTATAAAATTCTCAATATATAAACTTTATTAACAATAATAAATTAGTTAAAATAACACCAACCTTTGGTGTATAAATGAGTAAACAACCTCTATTTGTCGTAAAATATCTCTCATAATATTATAGTATATGCTATAATATCAAAACTGTTTATTAGAGTTCAGGTAACAGAATTTAACTGTAATGGCACCTCTGTAGTATTATCCGTTGTTGAGATGTAACCATTTTTTCGTCCGGTCTTGATTAACCCGGCTCACGATACATATGCTTCGTCCGGTCTAACATTGAACCCGGCTCACTAATCATAGGGATGGTGTAGTAGTTGGAATATGACACACTGTTTACAGTTTTATCTCTGTTCGAAGGAATTCTTCTGCATCCCTTGTTATTTCAACCGCTAAATCAAAGAACTCGCGAAGTCTGCTCCATGATATTAACATTGAATTTCCACCATAGCCCTGGTTAAAGATGTTGTGGAATGGGTGTCTTTTGAGAAGCTCACTCATGCTGTTCCTTTTATTTAGTTTTATATCATGACAGAAGATAAGCAGGTGAAGTGAGTTTTGCTCCCCTCGTCCACATTCACACAGTGGAGAATCAAATTTGCTGCTGTTGAACCGGTGAAGAAATTCATTCATGATGTTGTTGGGGTAGAACAGACTTAGGAATAGGGTTTCAAGTTGCCTTGTTGTTTTGGGCGGAAACTTAAGCTTTGTGGTGCTCACTGTAGGTGCCTCTGTATAACCTTCCAACTGATACTGGCTGTTTATGGAAGATTGCCAAAGCTGTTCACTGTAATGTTTCATAACCAATTTACTGTAGCTGCATCCTTTTGTTGATAAACTGGAGAATTTCTCAAGGTCATGGTTGTTTATGATGTTTTGATCCTCCTTGGTGAAGTGTTCAGGGTGTATCGAAGATTTCCACAATAGAAACTGAAATACATCTTTTATCTTTCCAGTGAGTGGGCTATAACTGCCTGATTGGGTTTGGGCATCGATGAGTTTTTTCAGTGGATCCTCTATATCAGGAAATATATTTAGTTTTAGGAGGTGCTTCACCGAGTTCACTTTGTTTGATATGGTTAGTGGCAACACACCTAATATCATTTCAGCTGTGGACATTCTTACATTGAACACTGCACCCAAAGCTGCCTTAATAGTCCTATACCAAGCACTTTCGACTTCTTTGATACTTCGATTATTGATCCAGACAGTTCCAGCGTAATGAATTCGTGAATATATGAGAACTTCAATTAGCCTGACGATGACATGTTGTCTGAATCCCCAGTTGCGGTTTGTATATTTGCATATTGTAGCCCACCGGCCAAGTATCTTTCTGTTAATATCCTTTGCATGATCAATGTAAGTGAGCTTCCTATCCATTATCAAGCCTAATACTTTGGTCTTTTCGACAAACAGGATCTTGTTGCTGCCAAGATGAAATGACACTGGAAGAAGCTTTGCATCGTTTTCTGCGGTACCAAATCCAATTAGTTCAGTCTTTCCAGGATCACAGTTTATTATCATTCTCCACGTTATACTCCATTTATAGATAGCATCGCATGTCATTTGTAGGTTCAGAAGACACTGGTGTGTGGTTTCACCTCTGACTCTTAATGTTCCATCATCTGCAAACTTGTAAACCCCTATATCTGGGTTGAGAGAAAGATCTTGTGCAAGGTCATGTAAATAGAATTTAAAGAGAATTGGAGACAGTGCCGAACCTTGTGGTAGACCAAATTCTCTACATGCTCTAATGAACCCAGTATAGTTGTTGAATATAAGGCGAACTTTTCTGTTGAACAGAAAGCTGTTTATAAGTTTCCATAAACTTCCCGACACTCCAAAATCCGACAATTTTTTCATGAGACCTTTTTTCCAAACACTATCAAAAGCCTTTTCAAAATCTATAAAGAGACAGATGACCGTGTATTTCTTCTGAAGATGACTACGAACATCATTATCTAGTCTGTTTAGATAGCGAACAGTGTTGCGCTTTTTAGTGAACCCTTCTTGATACTCATCACTAAGGCCCTTCATCTTGAAATGTTCTTCTAATCTGCTGGCAATTATTTGTTCAAACACCTTACCGATATAGGATGTTATAGAAATCGGTCGATATGATCCTGCTTTGCTGTAGTCAGTTTTACCGTCTTTCTTTAGAAATATTACGTCAGCAATATCCCAAACCCAGTGGCCAGTCTCCAAGCATGAATTCAACAGTGTAAGAATACATTCACAGGCAGTTCCTCCCAATTTCTTTAACATTACAGGGTGAAATTCAACGTTATCAAAGCTTTTTCCTGCTGTTTGATAGTTTTTGAAGAAGTGTTGAAGTTCACCTTTTGTTATCTCACGATTTAGCATTCATGGGCTTCCGTACCAGTAGAGTTCTTTTGTTCCTTTCTTCTGTTTCCTCAACTTTCACAGCTTTGTTTTGTGTAGAGAGCTGTTTAACAAGTTGGTTTGTAGCCTTGTTAATATGCGACTTATTACCAGTAAGAGCAGAGGAATAGCTTTTTAAATCACCGATTTTGTCGATTTTGTCTGAGTGTTCTTCCACTTTGGTTGTCATACTTGTGACTTTTCGGTGAATACGCCTAAGCTGTGTAGCAACATCATTCATGGCATGGTTACAATTGGGACAAAATGTTTTGATATAGCTAGGAGAATCTTTGAGTTCATCATAAAGCTTAGCACTTATAGGGTGATCGTTGCAACTGTTATGAAAAAAGTTTTCACAGCCACTACAATGCAATCCAAACCCAGTATCTGTTGGAACCCTGTTCTTGGGTTAATTAAATAACAAATAATACTCAATTATTATAAATACAAATTAGATGAATAAAGAGGTTATACAAAATCTTGTGTCATTTAAGTAACCTTGTTGGCCATTGCGGTCATCTGTAACTTCACCTGCGCATACAACACATGGGTATCGTAAAGTTTTTTTACCATCTGCATTGGGGAAAATACCACTAACCGCATCATCATCAGTTTCAAAGTCAATAAAGTTCCCATTTCTGTCAAACTTTCCCAATATTGCACCATTCTCATAACCTGACAGATGTCTGCCAAAGATAGCGCTGCAACGAAGGAGCTCGAGCCGTCCATCTTCGTCGTAGGCACTTGGTGCTTTCAGGTGCAGTTTCTTTAGTATCAGGTTAATCTGAGGGATAGATAAATCAGATAAAGGTGTTGAGCTCATGATAGCTCAAAGCGAAGACTGGAACATCATTTCCAGCTCCCAGACAATCCCTCAACCCCCAATTACACCCAAACACTCGCCTTACATTGGGGTGTACTGAAAAATCGATTGAATTCAGAATTTTTATCATGATACACATTTCTGCATCATTATTTATATTGGTAGCAATGAATTGTGCTCTGCCAATTGCAACACTTAAAATTTGATTGTGCTCTGCCAATTGCATCACTTGATTTAATTGAATGTATTATATATACTGTTTGACACACTTTATAATCTTATCAAGGGTATTGATTTATTAATCATTTTTTTGTACACATAATTTGTAATTTGTTTAGCATTTACATTTCTTTATAATATGATGACAACCATAACGACACCACACTTGTAGATCAATTTATAACAATCTATTCCAGTTGGTGTAAGCTATGTCTGAGCCCGTAAAGAGACCAACTGCTGGAGAAACAGAGGAGGATCTGTTAAAACTGCAAGCACAATTCATGAAGAAAAAACAAGGTCAAATTAAAAAAGATGTGGTGGACGTTGACCAAGGAATGATGGACTCTGAACCAGGCCTGGTCAATCGAAAAAGGAAAATAAGCAAAGAGGTACAATAAATTACCCATAAAATGATTGCGTATTATGATCTTGAAGTAAGAAAGTTACACAAATTTGGGGGTGAACCATAGCATCAGCTAAGTTCGAGAATTAAAAAGCATCAAAGAGGTATGGATGTTAGCGAATTTCCATTCAGTGCCAAGCAACACTTTAATTGAAAGTAACCAAGAAATTTCCCCCTAGCCCTACTCAGATGATAGCGATGTGTATAAAACCCTAGATGAACATGATACTGATTTGGAATCCATCCTGACTAATATATGTGAGCTCGATGTACGTGCTCACAGCATCACCACTCCCTCTGCTACCGAACATGGATTTCCTTGTGTCAAGGACCATCAAATAACTAATGATTCCAAGATGGCAAGTGGTGGTAAAAAGAAGAGCCTGTTCGCCATGCAGTTTGATAAGAAACACAACTATGTACCAAGAGAAAGGAAGCCTGAGAGCGCAAAGCCTAGACATATTGGGGAATGTAGGCAAGTTAAAGTACAATACATAATGTTGATGTATGCCTGTATGAAACTATTAAGTTCCAATCTGAACTACTATTGTACCATTGTTGTAACTGTATTTTTGAATTATTGTAAACCACTATAAAGCTATAATAAGTTGAATTTTCTAATCATCGCAATATGTAGAACATTTCTAGTTTAGTACAACTTGAGTTACTGTCTTTGAACAACCCATAATGTCATGTTATCTTCAGTTCGTTTTTGGAAAATGTGTTACCAGCAGAGCGCATGGCCATAGAGGAACAAACTAATAAAATATTCAACAAAATGAGTGAAGTTGAAAAGCAGCGGGAAGCAGAGAAAATATTTAAAAACATGGGTCAGTTCCTGGAATTCTAGTCATGTTTCAGCTTCCTGAAATCGTGGTTTTAAATACTCAGAGTTTGTCATGGTTTAGCCAATTCCTTGTGGTTAGTTCTTTGTTTATTATGCATAATAAATGATATCCCCTCCTCAGACCCAAAGTTAGTAGAATTTCTTAAAAAGCGGAAAAGAGAAGCACAAGAGAAGAAAGAAGCTGAAAAAAGAGAGAAGGCATCTAAAATCTCTGAACAGATTGCTGCAGATGCAATGGATGCTACAGATACTGGTTTTAATTCACAATGCTCTAGTGATAATGTGAGTATATTTTCAATATTTCTTGATGGAAGTTCATTGCACTTGGGCAGTATCGAATAATGAATTTTCATCGACCAGATTGTTACACAAATTTTCTTGTACACATTTCTGTCTTATGCCCCAATCAGACCTTGTTACAACTCTACAGCTTAAATGACTTGATTTGTTAATAAATTCTAATGCAATGGTTTAAAAGTTACCCCACATAACACATTTCTCTAATCTTAATAAAAATTTACCCCTCAGGATTTTCTGAACCCTAGCAAACAGAAGGTGGTTATAGAGGGGAAGGAGGTAGAGATTCCCTTGTATGTCAGTCCAGGACACCGAACTAACATGGGCACTCTTGAAGCTGAAAAACTACAGTGGATGAGTGACATTCCTCAAACTAAACCTGTCACGGCGATGGAGGTTTTTAAATTGCTGAATACCTGCTGAACAAAACTTCACAAGATAAATCATACTATATTATGTTGTTTGTTTCTTGAAAAGACTTAAATATTTCTGTTTGAAGATAATAGACACTCAACCGATTCAACCGATTCTTATTGAATCTAGTCAGTGGATTTTCAGTAGTACTTTATCTCAGAAAGACAAGGAGGACACACAGAAAGATAAGGAAGACACACAAGTAAGATTTGACTTTGACGGCAAGATTGTGCCTCGAGGAACTGACATACATCTTGATAAAGGTACAGTAAAAACCTTTTCACTGTTTGAGTTATAATACGTCTCCATAATATATTATGAATCTGATTACTATAATAAATCCTTGGCATTTGCAACCTTAGACCTAGTTTGCATTGGAGTTGGGAGTATCCTCACTTATATGACGTGGTACACTCCAAGCTGGGAGTACCCTCACTAATATGACGTGGTACACTCCAAGCTGGGAGTACCCTCACTAATATGAAGTGGTACACTCCAAGCTGGGAGTACCCTCACTAATATGAAGTGGTACACTCCAAGCTGGGAGTACCCTCACTAATATAACGTGGTACACTCCAAGCTGGGAGTACCCTCACTAATATGACGTGGTACACTCCAAGCTGGGAGTACCCTCACTAATATGACGTGGTACACTCCAAGCTGGGAGTACCCTCACTAATATAACGTGGTACACTCCAAGCTGGGAGTACCCTCACTAATATGACGTGGTACACTCCAAGCTGGGAGTACCCTCACTAATATGAAGTGGTACACTCCAAGCTGGGAGTACCCTCACTAATATGACGTGGTACACTCCAAGCTGGGAGTACCCTCACTAATATGAAGTGGTACACTCCAAGCTGGGAGTACCCTCACTAATATGACGTGGTACACTCCAAGCTGGGAGTACCCTCACTAATATAACGTGGTACACTCCAAGCTGGGAGTACCCTCACTAATATAACGTGGTACACTCCAAGCTGGGAGTACCCTCACTAATATAACGTGGTACACTTTAAGTTATAAACACGTTATCAGGTCTACACCACCATGGGGAGGAGCCATCTCAAGCTGGTTACACACTGGACGAGCTCTTCATCCTATCACGTAGCGTGGTTAGTTCCCCAGTAGCATGGTATGTTTCCCAGCTCTTTTTAAACCGAAAGTTACTTCTGTACAATAGACAGGATTACACGTCATACATATCCCCGATACCTGAATTACACCGGTATAAATTTAACGGGCTGTGTTTTACTGAGATTAATCAGTTCACATAATAATAACGCACATCGCTCAATAAATTCCAAAGAATTTCAATTAAAAATGAGATATCTTTGGATAATATTTTAACAGTAACCGGTAACCCACATTCCACAGGTGTTGAGACAGAGACAGATAGCAATGGAGACCCTGGTTCACATTACACAAAGAGCAAGACACGCTCTGTATACCGGCTACGTGAAACAGCCTATGTTACAGCTTCTTCTTGATTCTGGTAATTCTTCTTATACATCACTTTAAATCTTAGAAGTTAGTGCAGATTTTGTACATTCTGATAGTTGTTTTAATTTAAGCAAGGCTTATAACAAATTTACAGTACATTATACATATCTTTGGGTAAAACGGGTACTATTACACAAGGGCCAGGGGTGAGCGGAATGATCTAAAATGGCATAAAATCGACATTAATTACATATCTTACGGGTATTTGCCTCACAGAATGGCCAAAAAAAAGGAAGGTCTCTCAAAGTCACGAAACACACTTTATTCCAGTTTTTATCTCATAAGAAGCTAAGTTGACACTCATATTTTTCTTCCCGGGGGTTCATTTAATCTCATAACCATTTTTTCTTTGAGAAAAATTGGCCGGAAAATCTTCCTCCAAAAAAACATGCCTCACAGAATGGCCAAATCTGAATTTCTATAATTTTGTTGATGGAGATACTTTTTAAATTTCTATCACCACACGTTCTTAGAAAACCTATTAAGGAATGGGGTAATAACCTAAAACTCACGAAAAAACTGAGCTGTGAAAAATTATTTCACAAAAAAGAAAAAATGCCTGACAAAATGGCAAAAAAAAAAAGAAAACGAGAAAATTTTATTTTTCTAAAACCTTTGGCTCTTGTTTCAGGCATGCTGCTGGTATTAATATGCCTTGTTAACACCCCCATATAGGTGAAATTTTTTAGAACTGGATAAAAAGGGCATAATTTCCTAAACCAAAAATGGCCATTTTGTGTGGCGTTGTTCATATTCCCTGATTTCATGATTTATAACCTTCATTCGGCTGTAAAAACACTCCATCTGGGGTGATATTGTATGATAAATAGCTTGTGAATACTTTAGACTTATGGTTTCATTGAATAAAAGGAGTTTTAAATTTTGGCCATTTTGTGAGGCATATTTTGGCCATTTTGTGAGGCGTTTAGCCATTTTAACATTTTGTTTCTTCCTAAATTGAACAATGTTCGTTTTGTTTGATGAATACTATTCTTTAAACATCTTCTGTCATACTGGTGCCAGAAGTTCTCACCAAAATGCAAACTTAGTTCAAAAATTTGAAAACAAATTTTGTGAGGCATATTTTGGCCATTTTGTGAGGCGTGTAGCCATTTTAGCATTTTTTTCTTCCTATATTGAACAATTTTCGTTTTGTTTGATGAATACTATTCTTTGAACATCTTCTGTCATACTGGTGCCAGAAGTTCTCACCAAAATGTAAACTTAGTTCAAAAATTTGAAAACAAATTTTTCAGTGCTCAAAATTTCTACATAAACAGTCATATTTATGCCAGAAAATGTGGTCGTAGTTAATGATTTCACCACAGGAAGTGTTGCCAGAAGACTTTTGTTTCATATGGTATCCACAAAACCTACCAGTCTTTTATAAAAAATTAGTTACAAAAACATTTACAAATTTGGCCATTCTGTGAGGCTAGCCATTCTGTGAGGCATTTACCCGTACCTTATACTTTTGCTTTCGGTATATTATTATGGTTTTACAATGTACATGTGAGATAACGAGAACTGCATAAAACTAAACACTGTTACACACTATCACACCAACTGTTACACTATCACACCAACTGTTACACACTATCACACCAACTGTTACACACTATCACACCAACTGTTACACACTATCACACCAACTGTTACACACTATCACACCAACTGTTACACACTATCACACCAACTGTTACACACTATCACACCAACTGTTACACACTATCACACCAACTGTTACACACTAATACACCAACTGTTACACACTATCACACCAACCGTTACACACTATCACACCAACTGTTACACACTATCACACCAACTGTTACACACTAATACACCAACTGTTACACACTATCACACCAACTGTTACACACTAATACACCAACTGTTACACACTATCACACCAACCGTTACACACTATCACACCATGACCAACTGTTACACACTATCACACCAACTGTTACACACTATCACACAAACTGTTACACACTATCACACAAACTGTTACACACTATCACACCAACTATCACACCAACTGTTAAACTACCCAGGTATTGTACAATTGTACAGACATGCTATAGACACCACTGATTACGAGTTAGCGCTCCAGGGCTTGTCTGCTCTCCTCCTCTCCCCTACTGAGATATTCATACAGGTACTGTTATCTGTACTGAAATATCTGTAGCAGCATATACGGCACAAGTCGGCACCCAACGTTCTAGTTGAAGGCTGGAATTTCTAAAAGCTATTATAACTCAAACTGAACACCAATAACTCAAACTGAACACCAATAGTCAACCATTCAAGACACCTTTTTAATAAGATATTTTCATTCAGGACGAAGTGTTCCCAGATCTGAGTATCTACACGTTACAGCCAGATACTCCCATCACAAAAGACATGGACCACGATACGGTACTTGCGAATGACGTTGTGAGACTCCTTGTAGATAGCCAGGTTAGCAATTTGTTTACACTCGGCCACGCCTTAAATTATAAATATGCCATTATTATTGAACTTCCGATTCTGGGAATGACGTGACAATATCGGTCATATTATGATAGCCGCGAAGGTAGCAGAATTTAAAATTTGGGCGTGGTGACCTGCAATGAAGTACATAGTTGAAGATTGTATTTCAACAATATTGTGGTTGAGCAGAGTTTCTGTCGGATTATCTGACTAAGGTCTTTCGCCGAATGATAAGGATTTTCAAGGTTATTAGTTCGTTAATAAATGTAGACCTCTGTTAACGTTTCGTATCTTTTAAATACATTTTGTTAAAATTGTATTGTGTGTTGTTATTTAATACACACATTAAAGCTACCTTTGTTAATTAATCCGTTCAATCAATTTGCGATCTTATCTATCTTAGTCCTATTGGTAGTCGAAGTATGCTTATTATATAATTATATAATAATTTACAATTTTATTTTTAAATATTTTATATCAAAAAATATTTAAAATCCTCATCCAGTTGCCATGAGTTATTTAAAGGTCAGCTCTTACCAAGGACAGAATCTCTCTAACGTTCAACACCTGTCCGACCACGATCAATTCCTGATATTCAAAGGAGCATTCCTCTGGTTATCTCCCCTAACTATACCTCTGTGCCTGGTAGTGATACTACACAACATGGTCATCTTTATCCACTACTACAAGGACCGGGCTAAGCTTGTGGCGGGACTCTTTATGGGCATTGCTGTGGCGGACATGCTGAAGGCACAAGGAGAGCTGGTGTTGTCAGTGATCAGTATTCTGGTTTATTCAGGGATGGTGGAGGTGACGGTTCTTTACAGGAGCTTGTTTTACTATATGGTTACAGCTCTCCCAGGCATCGCATCAACTGGTCCAAGGTATTTAATCTGGCGATGAGCATCACCCTTACTGCCAGGGTTGTGGATCCTTTCCGCAGCATCAACATTACTCGTATAAAGAAAGTCATAGCCGCTGCTTGCACCATCATAATGTTTCTCCATATATCAGATGTCATTACCGTATACTTTGCATTTGTCAAGTCCCATTATACCAACAAATGGCAACTTTACCGTGTCTATTTGTATATGATGATGGGATTTAGCGTGCCAGGCTCAGGAACAATAGCAAGTCTAATTTGTAAGCCTGATAAAACTGGAGCTTCGACTTGCCACGGAACATGGCAATTGGCCGTAATTGGTTTCATTGTATTTATATACTGTGTAGCGATCCCTCTTACAGTTCTCATATGTATGCTCATCCAGATAAAATACATACGAAAGTCGCTCAAAGATCCCGAGACCACCTCGCAAACTCCCAAAGACACCGTGCGTCATTTCACCATCACCGTTCTCTGGGTTTCAGTCCTCTTCTTCATCTGCAACGCCACATACTTCTTTCTCCTGCTTACTTGGGCTATACTTAATGACGTTCATCATTACGATGCTGTGCAGCACCAAGATCAAGTGTATGTGACCATGGGGATACTAGTGGGCTTTACTGAGTTCACCCTGTCCCTGATTTACGCAGTGGTGTACCCAGTGATACTGATTTGTAGGAAGGAGGAGTTGAGGAGGAGGTATAGAGGGTACTGGAGACAACTCTTCAGCTGGTGTAGGACTGTTCCAGATACTGATTAGTAGGAAGGAGGTGGTATAGAGGGTACTGGAGACAACTCTTCAGCTGGTGTAGGACTGTTCCAGATGTAACTGATTAGTAGGAAGGAGGAGGTATAGAGGGTACTGGAGACAACTCTTCAGCTGGTGTAGGACTGTTCCAGATGTAACTGATTAGTAGGAAGGAGGAGGTATAGAGGGTACTGGAGACAACTCTTCAGCTGGTGTAGGACTGTTCCAGATACTGATTAGTAGGAAGGAGGAGGTATAGAGGGTACTGGAGACAACTCTTCAGCTGGTGTAGGACTGTTCCAGATACTGATTAGTAGGAAGGAGGAGATCAAACCATTACACTTTTACATTCGTTGCTAAATTGTAGCTCTCTTATCAGTAGTTCTGTGTGCGCGTTGAATTATCTCTCTGGCTTTGTAGATTTGTATACATTGTTTGTACATTTTCTGTACAACGTGTACGATGCCTTATCCGCTACAGAGTGAACATTTTGAGATGGTAGATGATGCTATGGTTGAGAATGGCCAGTTCCTTACGGAATATGTGAATCAGATACACATGGCGACGGACAGTATTTTCAAGGAGATTAGAAGTAAAATCGGAGTTGAACACAACGATGATGTGCGATTTGATAAACTGAACCAGAGAAGTGTGCCTAGAGAAAGGTTATCAGAATGGTTAGAAACAATGTGCTGGATACTGAACAATTATTGTGGACCATTGTTACAATCCGCCACAGAAACAGCTGACGATAACCGAATGTTCAGGAAAGAAAAAATAGCTGATGCGACCAAAATCATAGAACTACAAGAGAAGTTACTCACCAAGCAAGAAGAAGATATGGCTAAAATCAATGATTTGCAGGAGAAGTTAGCTTTGAAGAAGGATGACGAGATTGGAACTGTGAAAAGTGCAGCTCAGAAAGAGATCAAAACCTTTTCGTCTCTGTTGAAAAACACGTGCAAAAACGCCTTTGCACCGAAGAAGATCCAAGCTGCAGTGAAAAGAGTTGCCCTAGAAGATGATCGAAGTAAAAGCCTGATTATCTTTGGGCTTCCAGAGACGGAGGAAAACCTGGATGCTAAGGTATCTGGTATTTTGTTGGACCATCTCAACGAAAAACCGAAAATGTTGAGATGTAAACGAGTTGGAAAGGACACAAGTGAACGAGTCAGGCCAGTGAAATTCATTTTGTCTAGCTCAGATCAAGCTCGTACCATCTTGAGCAAGACTAAGCTTCTAAGACATGTAGACGGGTTTAGTTCAGTTTACATCACTCCTGATAGATCAGCTGCAGACAGAATAGCCTACAAGAAAGTTGTCGACCAACTGATAAATAAAAGGACAGCAGAGCCTGACAAAGTTCATGTTATCAGTAACTATAGAGTCATTAGCTCGGAGAAGGAGCCTTTAGAGTGATATATTTTCAAATAACGGAGTAGTTCGCTGTTTATTAGTCTCATGATTGAAATACTGATATCTGGATATTATCCGGTTGGAAGAGACAAGGACAAGTGAAACAAGGAAGTTAGGAGTAAGGGCAAATTTTCGGCGTCAACGCCATCTTCAGGCTAAAATTGTTATAAATGTTAGTATATAATAAATGCTTCTATACTAGTTAAAATGCTAAATTAAAATTACACACACTGAATACAGGTTACATCAAATGGTATTGTACATTACATTGAAAATAGTGATGTACACACGTTTTACACTCTGTCCAAGTACATAATATCTACTGAACAGCAGGGTCGTGTGCTATTTGTTTAAATTTGTCTTTGAATATGTTGTAAAAGAAATCCCTTAAGCTTCTCGCACTCTTCTTTGTTATTGATACTAGGTTTAAATAAATTAATGTAGTAAGCTTCTGTCACTTTACGTTTAATGGTGCTATATAAGTTAATTTCTAAAATATCGAAGGAAATATCTGGTTCTATGTTATCGTGAAACTCTGAATAATGAGCAGCCAACGCATTATCAGGATAGGTTAAAGGCCTGTTGACTGCTCTTCGATGCTCTGAAAATCTATCGTGTGCTGTTCTACTCGTTTCCCCTATATATAGCTCTTGACATAATTTACACGTAACTTTGTATATGACACATTTTGGTTTGCAGTCGTGATTTGTTGTGATGAGTGGACATATGATACAGTTTGGTATGGTGCAGTGTGGTTTGTCGTGTGGTCGTGATGAACATAAGATCTCTGAGAGTTTCTTACCTGGTGTGAATATGAATTTGACCGGTAAGTTGTGTGAGAGGGCAAATTGAGTGACTTCTTTGGAAAATGGCTCGTTGATGAATGGTAGAGTGCATGTTACGTGGTCGGTATCTTGTATGTTTGATGATGAAGGGTTATGACGTGTTGTAGGTGAGAATGTAATGTACAATACCATTTGATGTAACCTGTATTCAGTGTGTGTAATTTTAATTTAGCATTTTAACTAGTATAGAAGCATTTATTATATACTAACATTTATAACAATTTTAGCCTGAAGATGGCGTTGACGCCGAAAATTTGCCCTTACTCCTAACTTCCTTGTTTCACTTGTCCTTGTCTCTTCCAACCGGATAATATCCAGATATCAGTGATATATTTTCTATAAATACAATATTATATGTTTTAATTCATTGATTAATTAATTTGTTGCTAGGGCCCAATGTTATTGCGGGTGTGGTATTTCTTACTGCACACTACTGTGTTTTGGTTACCCCTCTTTCAATACATAATTTGGGTTTCATACTGGGATAGTGGAATTTAGGGCTATATCGGTTTTCTCCATTTATAACTGGGTTCATTTAGAAGCATTCAATTCTGTATAATTATGTATTGTTTGAAAAGTTTAAGATAATAGAGGGTACTGGAGACAACTCTTCAGCTGGTGTAGGACTGTTCCAGATACTGATTAGTAGGAAGGAGGAGGTATAGAGGGTACTGGAGACAGATTAGATTAGAAGACTATCTTAAACCTTGTTTCTTATGCTCTTGTGAGTTTTGAGAGGTCTCTGGTCTAATCAATGAAATATGAATCAACTGTTTTTACCTGGATGGTTTATATCCTTCGCTGTTTTGAATTTTCGCAAATGTTTCTTGATCTACGTACCGTTTATTTAATTTATGTTTTGTTATATTACGATTATTTGTGAGTTTTCGACTGTAATATTATGTATATCTGTGTTAACCTCTTCGTTTTAATTGTCTGAAAACTTAAATTAGTTAAACCAACTTCTTTGAATCAAAACTACAGAAGCTAGTCAAAATGTGGCGTATTCAAAAGACGTGACACGTACACGTATTAATTATAGAAAAACGAGTGAAAATATCGTCATGAAACCTTAATTTTGAATCATATCCTCAGTTACCACAAAGATTCTGGTACCTGTTATCAAAGCACGAGTTGACCAACACACTGGTCAACAATATTCTCAACGTTGTTCAACATGTCGCCCAGCATTCTCTTCATGTTTCTATGGTATGTAAGGTCTAGTTGTTAGGTCGGGTCTTGTAACCACACAATCCATTCTACCCCGTAGTAAAAACGTTATAAGTTCACCACGATTAATCAGTTGACTAACCCAATATAATGGTCAAATCACCATGACCAAACGCAAACCTCAGTTTCTTCCTTATGGTCAAAATGATCAAATTCAAATTAGAATTTGTAAACAAAATCTTAATCTGTCTGAACCATGAAATGGCGACAGAAAAGTAAGGTTAGTAGAGGTTAGTAGAGGTCAGTAGAGGTTAGTAGAGGCTAGTAGAGGTTAGTAGAGGTTAGAAGAAGTTAGTAGATGCTAGTAGAGGCTAGTAGATGCTAGTAGAGGCTAGTAGAGGCTAGAAGAGGTTAGTAGATGCTAGTAGAGGCTAGTAGAGGTTAGAAGAGGCTAGTAGAGGTTAACCTCTAACTAGTAGAGGTTAGTAGAGCTTAGTAGAGGTTAGTAGAGCTTAGTAGAGGTTAGTAGAGGTTAGTAGATGCTAGTAGAGGCTAGTAGTATAGTGGTTAAGGTTTTTTTAAAGGGTGCCAAGGGTGCTAGCACCCTTGCCTCAAATTTTTTCATCGAAAAATTGAAATTGTCTGAAACGAAAAAAAAACATATTTTCTTGGCATGGGGGGGGGGGGGGGGGGGGGATGAGGTTAGCATTGAATTGACCATTGTTAATAAGGGTCTGTACATGCTCAAATAGTGGGCCTGTTGATAGCTTGGATGTGTTTTATTACAGTGTAGACTTACTTACATGGGTCTATAAGGTGGAATAGTGGGTCTGTTGATATTGATAGTGGGTCTGTTGTTATTAAGTGTGTGTCCAAACTCAGACGCTAACAGGTCAGAGTATTCTAAACTTAATAAGTTAGTCAAGAAAAGCAGCAAGCTAGACGACAATAACTGGGCAGTTAGAGTAGCTACTGATCTTGAGGAAGCAGCGAGCAAAGGTCAGCAGCGTGAGGTATGGGCAAAGATCAAGAAGATCTCTGGTAAGAACAAGAAGCCTCAAGCATCTTGTGTCCGGGACAAGGACGGTAGGAAGATCACAGATCCCCAACAGCAGAGGGATAGGTGGAAGGAGCACTTTACTGAACTTCTGAACCCTCCATTATCAAGTGTCGACCTTGCCGACCTTGATACAGTACCACCCCAACCCCACTTTAACTCTCTCTCTTGTTCGGATGGACCACCCACCAGAGACGAGATTAGTTATTCCCTGACAAAGCTTAAGAACAACAAAAGCCCAGGAGTGGACGGGATAACTAACGAGCAACTGAAGTATGGTGCGAGTGCTCTAGTTGATCAACTAGAGTGTCTATTCAAGAAAGTGTGGGAAGAAGAGACTGTTCCTGAAGATTGGTTAAAGGGTGTGATCATTGTCATTGGGAAGAAAGGAGACACTTCAGTCTGCGGGAACAACAGAGGGATCACCTTAAGGTCTACAGCATCCAAGCTTTTTCAGATGATTCTTCTTAAGCGGTTACATGCTGGTATGGAGTGTCTCCTCAGGGAGAATCAGTGCGGATTTAGACAGAACCGCTCATGTATTGATCAGATTTATTCTCTCCGAACTATTATTCATAACTGTCTTGAGTTTAACATTCCTCTTTACATTAATTTTGTGGATTTCAAGGCAGCGTTCGATTCTATCAGAAGGGACTTTATTTGGTGCAGTATGAGACACTATGGGCTGCCTGAAAAATATGTCAGAATATTTCAGTCATTTTTTGGGGGTACCATGAGTGCCGTGAGGGTTAATGGGGAGCTGACAGAATGGTTTGATGTTAACTCAGGCACAGGTCAGGGTGACATTCAAGCACCTCCTGTCTTTAATTTCTGCCTAAACTTTTCTGCATTTCTGGCTGAGACCAACAAGATCATCAGTTAAGGCGCAGTGCTGCAGAAAGAGATGAAGACGGTCGAGGAAAAGGTCATTCTGGACACCGATTATGCTGATGACATGGCTATTATGGACAACTCAGGGGAAGGCCTACAGGAATCAACTGATCTATTAGTTCATTACAGCTCCTACGCTGGGCTCAGAATAAATGCAAAGAAGACCCAATGCATGGCTGTAAGCAAGTGCGCCTCCCAGCGACCTTTCATCAAGGATGATTGTATTGAGCTGTCGGTTGAGGGTGAACCCGTCGAGCAGGTTAGCAACTTTGTCTACCTGGGTGCAACTATCAGTGGGGATGGGACAATCAACAGAGACCTGGATGTCCGTATCCAGAAGGCTAATGGCGCCTTTCATCAGCTCTGGAACATTTGGAATAGCAGAACTATAAAGACTCCAACCAAGATCAGGATCTATAGGGCTGCTGTCCTCACCATCTTGTTGTATGGAGCTGAAGTCTGGAACACCACCAAAAAGCAGATGAAACGCTTCGAGGTTTTCCATCAAACCTCCTTGAGAAGGATCCTTAGGATTAAATGGTTCTTTCATGTGACCAACGACGAAGTTCTTAGGAGGGCTGGCATCAAGTCAGTTGAGACTTTCATCAGTGCTGCCAGGCTACGTTGGTATGGACTGTATGTAGTTAGAATGCCAGACTCTAGACTACCGAGGTTTCTGTTGAACTGGAAGCCAAATTATGGAAAGAGGTCAAGGGGCAGACCCCGTAAGAACTGGAAGTCCTGCGTACTCGAAGATGCTGCTAAGTTTACAGGTGTTGAAAACATCGACAACGACACAACAGAAGCTTTGGCTATCAACCGAGTACAGTGGAGACATATGTTACGCCGCCAACGCGATGTGTGTCATGCAGGCCACTCCAACGACTAGGAGGAGACCTTACCATGTAACATGTATGTATGTATGTCTACTCGCTTAATAGTGGGTCTTTGCTACTCTGAAATGGGTCTGTAGATTGACTTGTGAGTCTGTAAGATGAAATAGTGGGTCTGTTGATATTGATAGTGGGTCTGTTGTTATTAAGTGTGTGTCTACTCGCTTAATAGTGGGTCTTTGCTACTCTGGAATGGGTCTGTAGATTGACTTGTGGGTCTGTAAGATGAAATAGTGGGTCTGTTGATATTGATAGTGGGTCTGTTGTTATTAAGTGTGTGTCTACTCGCTTAATAGTGGGTGTTTGCTACTCTGAAACGGGTCTGTAGATTGACTTGTGGGTCTGTAAGATGAAATAGTGGGTCTGTTGATATTGATAGTGGGTCTGTTGTTATCAACTGTGTGTCTACTCCCCCATGGTCGCCTGGTAACTGGGCTGTGTTTATGACTGCAGTCAGTCAAAGATTTGAACTGTGGATTAGTAAATATCTGTCATAACATCCAAGCAAACATTCTAGAAGACTTCTATAAATAGTCAATAGTGTCCCCTAGACCGTAGGAAATGTCAAAATCTTAAGACGATGAGGCCTGAGTAAGTCGTAAATTCTGATTGGAGAATGCAGATTGCTGTTGTGAAGTTACCAAATTTACGCGAGTACTTGATTCTTTTCAATCCCAGTTTATTGCTGTCCTACAAATTTCTTTAATGCCAAATGTCGTCTGAAACACCCTGTTTCGCAAAAATTTTCCGGGGGGCTGCGCCCCCCTAGCCCCCGCCAAGGGGCTCCGCCCCCCAGACCCCTGGATTGGTCAAATAAAAATCCTGGCTACGTCCCTGACCTATACCTACATCTTTATACTATAAGTATAAAGCCAGCATTTTAAGGGGTATTTGTAAGTTTTCCACATATGTATGAGTGAACTTTGGATCCCAAATTGGCAACTTGGTCGTTTAGCTCCGGACAGTCTATGCAACGTCTATGCAACGTCCATGCAACAACAAAAGAACCGTCTATGCAACGTCTATGCAACGTCCCTGCACAATGAACACTCTATGCACACTCCCTGCACGGTCAGTCTATGCAACGTCTATGCAACGTCTATGCAACGTCCCTGCACAGTACCATATGAACACCGGCTACTAACCGGCTAGTAACCACCAAGTGGCTACTAACCGGCTACTAACCGGTCACTAGCCGGCTATTAGCCGAGTTACTAGCCGGTTAGTAGCCGGTTAGTAGCCGGCTAGTGACCGCTTTTCAAGTGCCGGCTAGTAGCCGGTTTAGAACCGGCTACTAATAGGTCTGCTTTAGAGCTCGGCTAATAGCCGGCTAGTGACCGCTTAGTAGCCGGTTAGTAGCCACTTTGTGGTCACTAGCCGGCTAGTAGCCGGTTAGTAGCCGGCTAGTGACCACTTTTCAAGTACCGGTTAGTAGCCGGTTGTTAATGTGAAGTTGAGGAGCTGTTATTACAAAAGTGGCTACTAGCCGGTGTTCATATGGTACTGTGCAGGGACGTTGCATAGACGTTGCATAGACGTTGCATAGACGTTGCATAGACTGACCGTGCAGGGAGTGTGCATAGAGTGTTCATTGTGCAGGGACGTTGCATAGACGTTGCATAGACGGTTCTTTTGTTGTTGCACGGACGTTGCATAGACGTTGCATAGACTGTCCGGAGCTAAACGACCAACTTCCCATCAAATTATCAACCAAAATGTGGTGGAATATTGCATATATGAATAGTACATATTTAATTATTGTGACGGAAGAAGGTCATCAACTTCAAGTCCTAAATTAAGGAATGTAATATTTAGTCCAATCTCTAAGATTGTTGATAGGGAAAGTTCAAAAAATTGGACGCAGCTCAGCCAGAGAGCCACATTCAATGGAAAAGTGGGTCTTTTACCCAAAAAAGTCAGCACCATTGGGTGGGTCTGTGGCACCCAGAAAAAAAACCTTAGTAGTGGTTAGTAGATGCTAGTAGAGGGTAGTTTTTTTTTTATTTATTTGAAAATTCAATTAATTGTTATATATATAAATCAAGCGTTACATTTCAGCCATGCAAAATTACAATGACATATTTTGATATACTAATTGATAAATGGAACTGCAATATAAGTTGCTTAATGTTTGGCCGGATGACAACTAACTAAAAGAGAAAAATAAACTTGATTACATAATAATTAATTCGGCTGAACCAACACATAGCAAGAGCCACATTAACGTTGGGGCCGTCGAAAGTAGAGGCTAGTAGAGGTTAGTAGAGGTTAGTAGAGGCTAGTAGAGGTTAGTAGAGGTTAGTAGAGGCTAGTAGAGGTTAGTAGAGGCTAGTAGAGGCTAGTAGAGGTTAGTAGAGGTTAACCTCTAACTAGTAGAGGTTAGTAGAGGTAAACACAGAAAAGTAAGGTTAGTAGAGGTTAGTAGAGGTTAGTAGAGGCTAGTAGAGGTTAGTAGAGGTTAGTAGAGGCTAGTAGAGGTTAGTAGTGGTTAGTAGATGTTAGTAGATGCTAGTAGAGGCTAGTAGTGGTTAGTAGAGGCTAGTAGAGGCTAGTAGAGGTTAGTAGAGGCTAGTAGAGGTTAGTAGAGGCTAGTAGAGGCTAGTAGAGGCTAGTAGTGGTTAGTAGAGGCTAGTAGAGGCTAGTAGAGGCTAGTAGAGGTTAACCTCTAACTAGTATCTAGGTTAGTAGAGGTAAACACAATCTTTTGCAGGTGTTCATGAAGCACGGTACACTGCTAGATAAGTTAGTGGAACTATTCCTCCCCACTGACCTGACACACACACTAACATGTACTGCTGACAACTGTTCTGCTCTACATCCCTCCCACATTGGTGAGTTTATTAGTTTTGAACTGTAATCTGAAATATTATGTTGACTCAAGGAATATATTGTATTATATTATGAAGTTTTTATCGTTTAAATTGAGAAAAGTAAAAGGTACAAAGATCATAATATTATTCTGTGAAAAGTATTCCAGAGAGAATTCGGAAGATGGGCAGCGGACGAGGTATATTTTTGTTTTTCAGTTGTGAAGATCATACGAATGCTGAGTAGTCACAGCAAGATTGTGGCAGAGGATCTGTTAAACGAGTACTCGCTGGACAATCTGATAAAGATGTACATTTCACTAAATCACAAGCAGTTCAAGGGTTGGTTTGGATTAACGATTAACAGATTATATAACTTAGTTCCGATGAATTTTATTTTAGTGAGGTCACAGTTCACACCATACTTTATGGTATGACTTAAGTTTTGAGGCTGTTTTCCACCACTACTTGATTACTGACCCTCACGTAACAGCTCATACTCCAGGAGATGAGATGTTGAAGTGCCAGATAGAAGTGAGCAGACTGTGGGAGGTGATGTTGAGTTGGGGACTGTGTGCTGGTGTCTACTCTGCTATTTACCCTCTTCTTGTCAGGTTAGTGTAGCTAACTGAGGGGGGCTCACTGTTATGTCTAATTATTATCTTTTAATAATTATTATTATGCTAACTGTTATGTCTAATGTTACCCTCCTTTTAATATTTATCATCTTTTCTTTACTCCGTACAGAGAGTTATCTGGAGGAGGACAGAGATCAGTGAAGCTGACTTCCTCTCTAATAGGAGCTCTTACAACCGGCCTACCTGTCTTCCCCTGGCAGGATATGGGGTCTGTGTACCATCCTGTCCTCAACAACATCCTCTCCTGGGCTAACTCTCCTCCTTCCGGCAATGAGCTCCCCCCTAAAGATGACCTTGTTCTGATAACATCAATACTGAAGTTCCTCACGTGTTTTGTGAAACTACATCACTCAAAACACTACGATGTCCATCTTGTCGACCAGGTTTCAAGTGTTGTTATATAATGTATCATACATGATACTGTATAATGCACTGTGCATAACATTCCGTATAACAGGTGGCGTGGGGCTATTAATTACAACATTCTGCATCTCTGTTGAGATTTTTATGATTCTACGGTCTCGTACACCCTGCTATACAAAATATGTAAATTGCTAAATTTTAACATTCCTCCAGGTTACAGATATAGTTGACAGGATTGTCAGACCTCTTGTAGTTGGAACCATGTTCGACAATGCTCTGGATTTCATGATATACTGCAAGGCTTTTCTGCCAAAACATAGTTTGAAGGTATTTCGGATAACATGAATGTTCTTGAAATATTGTTTGACGTTCATTACCAAACTTACTGGTGGACTTTCATTTTGTTCAGAGATTAACAAAATTTCAAGTTTGTTTATTCAAGCAAACATATTCAAAGTTTCCGAGCTGTGTAATTTCTAAAAACTGTTTCATTTCAGATCGCAAATCTCCCGACCTTAGAACTACACGAATATCACAAAACCAGCTCGGTCACCCTGGATCTGCGAGCACTTTCTCCCTCTGGAGAGCAACTCCTCCTCTTCTACTCCTGCGCGCACTTCATCCGTCAAACCTGCAACTTCCTCTCCTGCGCATTCAACGTCAACAAGCAGCTGTCCGAGATCATTACAGGCTTCCTCGAGAAGTGTAACAAGCCAGTGCTATCTGATCTGAACAGACACATAGTTAACACCAAGCAGGGATACCCCGCCAGTAATATCCCGGATCTTATCCTTCACGGTCTGACCATGCTCCAACACGACTACATAACCCTCGCTCACAAGGTGGTTAAGAAAGGTGGTAAGTCTTCAGAGCAGCAGTGTGAGCTGATGTTGGATACGGGGATTAAGGTGGTGTCGGTGTTGAGGCCAGGGTACGAGTACCAGCAGTTCAGTTTGATAAGTAGTGTGTTGTTTGATAGTAGTGTGAGTAGATGTTGTGCTTCACTCAGTCAGCTGTTTATTAAGAATTTTGAGAATGTGGTCACTAGGAATAAGCTGATGAAATCACAGAAATATTGGACCAAGCCGTTGGAGTCGACAGAGAGATCCCTTTATCTTGGTAAAGTAGTTGAAGAGCCAAAACTCACTGCAGCGTGGGTGTTCTTGTCAGATGATGTCCTTGCCTCACTTCCGGAACCTGTCATGGTGCAATATCTCGAATTCCTGGAATATTTGATATCTTCTAAAGGGCTCTTATCTGGTGCTCCCATATGTGTGCAGCTAATCTATGTTATGAAGATCTTGATGCTGCCATCTCAGCCGTTCCTTGACTCGAAAATATCAGATGTTCTGAGAAAGCTGTTAGATTACTTCATGAACATTTCCTACATTGATTTCAGAGAATCTAAACTATCTGGATACCCTTCATTTGGGGACTTTTTCAACACGTTCTGTGGAATATACGAAGCAGATGGGTTCTGTGATCCAGTGTTTGCTGGGTATGTGCTGCTTCCAACACGATGCGACTACGCACTCACCTACAGACGACTTATATGGGTGGAGCGTATTGAAACTCTCAGGCTCCTACGTAAAGCTCCTATTCAGGTTTCCAAGACCCTCGCCGCAATTGAAACGGATGCGGATATGATGACGATATATGTAACAGCGTTGAAAAATGGGATTTCAGGTATTCCAAGGATGGTTGCAATGCATCATTTGGTTCGTTTTTTGGTCGATGAAAGGGTTAAGAAGGAGAAGGACCTACTAAACTTGATTCTTCGGTATTTGTCCTTATGTTCTGATGATGTCAAAGAAGAAATCCTTAAGTTTCATAGAGTTAATGAATTCAATGAAATTGTTTTTCATGAGAAAGTTCCTGCTGGTCGAAGAGAAATCATGCATCTATGACGAAATATGACATGTTTTATGGAGTCATTTGCTTTTTTTGTATCCAAAATCCAAATAGACTATTCTTTCAAGAGATTTTTACCGAAATTTTACCGTTCAATGTAATTTATTAATTTTAATTCGTTATAATTCGTTCTTATTCTGATTTAAACTACCGAAAAATTTTTTACAGACGTCATGGCTTACTTCAAGTTCATGCCTTTAGCGTTTCTTTCACGAAAAATCTAATATTGTCATGATTTTTTAGCAAATACTGACTTTATGCTCGATTGATATTGTTCTTTTAATAATTTGCTCCTGACTTTGTTTCACATAACACTGTTTTCTTCTTAGATATGTCTCTAACATGGTATGTCTCTATGGCTGGGTGACGAGTAGATGCGTGGCAGGATTAACTATCATCATGATTAATATTATGCGCATTCATAACGAAATACATAGTATTAGTGACCCTTTTTCCTTGAATTATTGATTTGAATGTTTGTTGATAGATACAAGGCTAATCAATCATTACGAATGATGCTACATCTACATATCAATAAGTTTGATGACACAAGGCTGAAGGCTAATCAATCATTACGAATGATGCTACATAGACTACAATATATCAATAAGTTTGATGACACAACAGGATTGTTAAATTTCCCGTCCATCGGATTACCAGTCATCTTCATTGATATTACACCTACACTGGGAATTACTTCTACTTGGCCAATTGCCACAGTTCCTCATTCATTAGTACATCATACCCTGTTATTTGTTGACGACTATCAGGCAAACCAATCATTACGAATGATGTTACACCTACATAGTATGCTGAGATGCTGTAGAACAAGTTCTACTCTGATATGTTCTCCTCTTCTTGCAGTTCTCCTTCAACAATCCCCACCTCACCACAGACTGGTGGTTCATGCAGGATTGAGGTCGCCCTTACATTGTTCGCCCAGCTCAAGACTATCTTAGCGAGCTACTCTACAGTTGAGAACTCACACTGGAGAGGACTGGTATCAATATTAATAGTGTTCATTTGCTGCTGCTGGGAAATACTGTGTGTCCATCTTTAAACCGGCTAATCTACCGTTATCCTTGACATTACACCTACATAAAGATATTTAGAGCACGAGTGTATCGGACAAAGACAGTGACATTTTTCAAAATGTCAATAGTATACTCCGAGATTTGCGAATTCACAAACTAATCGCACTGATTTTCTGAAAGGTACTATAATATCGTGTTCCACTTACATAAGTTTACATAAGTTGCAAGAACTTTACAATATAGCTCAATAATATAGTGTCAACAAAGAGCCACACGCTGGGGCTACGAGGGCAGGATTACGGTTAAATCCGTCGAAAGGTTAGGTTCACCGCGTGCGTCCGTGCGAGTCACAAAACGAATCATCTTGATAGATGCAGAACACGTGCCAACATATTCACTGCTCTAGGACCCTATTAGGCTTAGTGTGACCAGTCGCTGTTTTTTCTTTTGTTACGGGCCCGATGTGGAATTGATTGTTTGTTGCTAAGTTTTGGTACATTTAATAGGTGTTTGCAAATATCGTCCTGAGAATCAAATCGACCTGATAATGGACGACTGAGCGTTTCACAGCAATTTTTGAGAGTTAATACATACTAATAGTACCTCAGACCTCTGTTATTTCTAAGATTAGAAAATTCCGTTGAGTATACTCACAAACAAATGAAACGGCTATTAGATAAACTGTGTTGTATTAATATATCACATTCACAGTATCTATCAGAAAATCATCGTGACTAGTTTTGTAATCGCACTTGCACTCTCTGGAAGAAACCTACAGAAAAACCGGTGCGATTATGAAATATATAAGTGGCCGTCAAATAGGTCAAAAGTGGAGTTATACTATTAAATTTAATGTAATATTCTAAGTATTTAAATGTTGATTGATGAAACATATTAAACAAAATCGTGTTGTTTTTCATCATGTGTAACCTACATTGTACATCAATGTTTTTACTGAAGAGAATACTCCTTTTAAATTCGTTATGAATTAAAATATTAATAAATTTTGTTCAATGCCTCATTGACACAAAAATGAATAATTAAAATTAGTTATCCAAATTGAATGATTATCTATCAGCTGCATATTTATATGCAGCTGATAAATATTATAATAGCTCTTCTTGGTTTTGTGAAGTTCCTACAATAATATTACGAAATGTTACTAACACCATATCGTTATCTACAGCATGTATTACTGGATGACTCGTACAAGATAACAGTTAGACCTACCAAAACTGCTCTCCAAGAACGTCTAAAACTGCTCTCGAAAAACCTCCAAAACGTATCCTACACCTACCTAGAGATATCATTATAATCAATGTTACACCTACATAATAACCATGTTATTGCGATGACAGATCCGAGGGAATGTTATCAGTTCAGAACTCTTTGTCTACTTTCTAGTGACAAACCATTCGGCACCTAGTTCGACCGTTGCTTGGATTAACAATTATCATCATTGATATTATACCTACATCATTACTGGTGAAAAACCCTTCGGATTGGTTACCATATGCACGAATCCTTGCGAATTCACACTGGTGAGATTTTTAGCTCGTCTCTTTCCTGGATCGACAATCATTATTCTTGACATTGCACCTTCATAAAAACACTTGTTTCCTTGCCGGAGAAAAACCATATGACAACCGCTTTTACTTGTAAATTTGAATTTTTCCTAACTTTGCGGATTCACACAGGAGAGAACTGGTGTTACTATCGATCGTGTCCTTTTACTGCTGCTTCTATTAGATAAACAGTCATCATTATAGATGCAACACCTACAAACACCTAAAAATTGCTTAAATATTGATTTCGTAATAGTTTATGTAAACGACCCTAATACTCTTTGTTTCAATGGCTTTACAAAATTTCTGGGTGAAGTTTGAACTGATTTACCCATGTCAAAATAGGCTGTTTTTAATTACAGGGGGGGGGGGGGGGGGGTTAGGGGTCTTTCACATATAACGTAACCAGTCGAGGGGGGGAGCCAAGTGGATATTTGTAGATATTTGGATAATGTCATCCACTTTTTTCGTGAATTATCCATTACAATAATCTACAAATATCTACATTTATCTACAAAAAATGTATATCTCAAATATGTGCCCAGAAATTCTACTGAATTTTTGGAGATAAATGTATAAATTTGTAGAATTTGTAGAATTTTCGTGAATTATCCATTGACAATAATCTACAAATATCTACATTTATCTACAAAAAATGTAATCTCAAATATGTGCCCAGATATTGTACTGAATTTTTGGAGATAAATGTATAAATTTGTAGAATGTCATCAACTTTTTTCGTGGATTATCCACTCTACATTAATCTACAAATATCTACAAATATCCACTTGCCCCCCCCCCCCCCCCCAGTCGAGGTGCCAGGGGAGGGGGGTTTCTGAATGATTACGTGATTACGCTAGTGTAATTTTGACACAATAGAAGTGTAAAGCTGATTTCGGAGGGGGCCGGGGGATGTGAACGACCCCTTACATAACATATGTAATGTTGGGTAGGTATACAATTATTATATACATCATACATTTCTAATTGAAACATCCTAAGCTAGGTATAGACTGGACAAGTCACTGATAAATCTAAAAAAATATTTAATTGATTATTTCAAAACACGTTTTTTGGACATTAGGCCCTTTCTAATATTCATAATCAAAATTTGAAACCATAATTATTTAAAATAAATTTGCTTTTAAATGAATGTCTCTAATATTTCAACACCTCAGAATGTCTAAAGACTGTAAACAAGAGATCAAATCAGAACGAGTGGAGAACCCAGAAAAGTCCACCGGTTTCCTCTGCCCAATGTGTGGAGCACATTATTTTTCAGAAGACTACTTTGTTGAGCACATCAAAGAACATAAATCAGCATCAAATTGTGTAATAAAACAAGAACTAACATCTGAATCAGATAAACCAACTGTTTTTATCTGTCCAGTTTGTGCTAAACATGTTCACTCAGATACTAAGTTAATAGAACATGTAAAACAACACCATGATCATAGCAGCTCAGAAGTACCTGACTACTTTAATACTTCAGATAACTTGACTGGAACAGATCCTCAAAAGACATTAGTTCTGTCTCTTAGTGAGAGTCCTACTGTGAAACATTTAAAGGGTTTCATCGAGAAACCCTTTAAATGTTCTGATTGTTCATTGGTACAAGACGAGCAGCTGATCTTACTAGACATATGCGAATTCACTCAGGTGAGAAACCCTTCAAATGTTCTGAGTGTTCATTTGCTACAAAACAAGCAGGTCATCTTACTAACCATAAGAAAATTCATTCGAGTGAGAAACCCTTCAAGTGTTCTGAGTGCTCATATGCTACAAGACGAGTAGGTGATCTTACTAGACATATGCGAATTCACTCAGGTGAGAAACCCTTTAAATGTTCTAATTGTTCATTTGCTGCAACAAACGCAAGTAATCTTACTAGACATATTAAAATTCACTCAGGTGAGAAACCCTTCAAGTGTTCTGAGTGTTCATTCGCTACAAAACAAGCAGGTCATCTTACTGACCATATGAGAATTCATTCGAGTGAGAAACCCTTCAAGTGTTCTGAGTGTTCATTTGCTGCAAGACAAGCAGCTGATCTTACTAGACATATGCGAATTTACTCAGGTGAGATACCCTTCAAATGTTCTGAGTGTTCATTTGCTACAAGACAAGCAGCTGATCTTACTAGACATATGCGAATTTACTCAGGTGAGATACCCTTCAAATGTTCTGAGTGTTCATTTGCTACAAAACAAGCAGGTCATCTTACTAACCATATGAGAATTCATTCGAGTGAGAAACCCTTCAAGTGTTCTGAGTCGACTGAGTGCTCATATGCTACAAGACGAGCAGGTGATCTTACTAGACATATGCGAATTCACTCAGGTACTACATAGTGAGAAATACGGAACTGCATTGCACCTTATCACCGGACACTGTCGGTTAAACAAACATCTTCTTACCATCTGCAAATTTAGCACCAGTGCATGTCCGATGTGTGACCACGAAGAAGATACCATCTCGCATAAATTCTAAGACAGTGCCCTTGTGCCCATCTATTGCTCAACTTAGAGCTTTAGAGGGCAATATTTTCAGGATTATTACCTCCCTAGCCTGTCAACGATATCTTTGACAACCATCACATAACTACTTTTGTCAATTTTGTAAGCTACACCAAGCATCATGATAGTAACATACTTCGATTCCACTTTCATTATCTGTACATCTTTGTAAGGATCAATGGGTAAATTATGAAA